AACTGAAGACCCTTTTCAGCAAATTAATTGGTTGTTGGCCTCCTACAAGTGTTTTCAGTTGAGCAAGGTCAATTTTTACTTTTTATATATATTTTTTTTACAAACAAAAAAAAAAAGTTGAGACTAACTTCTGATGCCCTAATCTATATTATGTGTTTTTTTTAGAAAAAAAAAGGGCGAGATATTTGATAAAATTGAAGTTTGAAATTTGAATCGATTAAGTTATCGAATTGTCAAATATTAAATTTAATACATTTAAGTGCATGTCACATTCAATGATAAGTGATATTTCACTTATCACTTAATTTTGAAAGCAAATTTTACTTAAAAAATTTAATACTATTTAATTAATTCAGATGTTTAATTTTTTATTATCAAACTGTCTGAATATATTAAGATCTGAATCAATTAAATTTAAATGTTAAATTTAATTATTAAATAAGGCCTAACTTCATCGAAGATATTATGAGGTAATTAACTTGAGCAAGAAAGGAGGTTGTCGGCTCTTATTGTGGCAGTCTACTATGCCCAATTTGATTTTACGTGTTATAAATTCGGCTGCAACTTCCCAGGTATTCGGAAGTTTCAAGGGATGCATGAAACACATAAATACCCTCGTATTCAAAGGCCTTTTACAATTTGTCTACCCAGACCCACTTGCACACCTACCTCCACGGTCTTGTTCCGATTTTGAAATGGACAGTCCAATGGTCCATGTCATGCGGTTTCGACTTGAGGCCCAACTACCTTACCGCATCCAGTCTCTGATAATACTTTTTTCAACCAACCCGTGATACCTTTTCAATCGGTTGAATAAGAAGGACGCAATGACTACCCACTAACCACTGATGTGTTCAGGGCTAGTTCTCGGTCGATTATTTTAACTGATTATAAATTTTAATTTGAATAGTCAATTTTTGTGATATTCATGGTTTCCTTTGTACTCTGACTATACTTTTTTCTAATTATCAAAAAATTAAAATATATAATCACTCAAAGGCAACTTTTCCTAATTTTAATTATTCTTGTTTGGATTGTATTTTTTAGAATTTTTTGTAGAAAGATTACTGTAGCAATTTGATGTATATGAGGAAAAAAGATAATACGGAAGCAATTTTTCGGCGAAAAATGGCTGTCCAAACGGGGCCCAGTCCAGAACAAGACCAAAGTCAAATGTCCATCGGTTGAATAGCTGTAAAGTGGGAAATCCAAAATCTTGCAAAAGGAAAGGAGAGACACAAGAATATGAGAGACGGCCCAAAAATCTTACAATCACGCTGTCAGCGTGCCTATCACTTTGAGATGGATCTTGGGCAGGCTGTGGCAATTCTTTTACTAGTACGCTTTCCAGTTTTGGACGAATAAAATTGTTCCATAATCACAAAAGGAGACCCTGCATCCGAATAGAATATGTTTATATTCAATTGGATCCGAGCCTGAACGTGGTAGGTTTGGCCCAAACTGTACACTTTATGGGCCTGTCGGTGCCTCTTTATTCCCAACACACAAATAACCAAAACAAATGAGCACCAGAAAGTATGGATAAATTTACATGCGGATAAATTTCTAACAAGAATGATTCGTAGCCGAAAGTTGTAAAGACTAAAGCAAGGCATCCTGTAATACTACAATACAAATTAGGATGGGACTTTTTAAATCTTGGGGAATGGGTCAAAAGCAGAAGGGGAATCAGAAAAGATGAGCTTCGTTGCATGTAAACCATCAGACATGGTGTATCAGGAGGACGGCAACTTTTCCTATAAAAACGCTGAATTCCTCCGCAATGATCTACGTGATGTTGCAGTCCAGTGATTGTGAGAAATGACGAGGAATCTGATGATCAAAAGCACCTCAGCTTTTTAGTAGTTTCCTTTGATTTAATTCTTCATGTCTTTGACTCTCGTCCAGGGCTTTCAGCATTTCACACGTTATAGAGCACCTCTGGTTCACACAACAAGACTAAAAGAAAGGTGTGAAAGAAGCCCAAACAAGTTTGAGGTGTTCATGAACGCTGGTTATGCGTAACTCCCAATGAGTATATATTTAAAGGTGCTCTATTTTCTAAAGGTTTTTTGGGTGTATGGCGTAGGCATTAGAGTTTCTGGCTTTTTTTTTATATTTTATTTATCAACAAGAAAGGTATGAGTAGGGGTGTTCACGAATCGAGCCACTCGAGTACGAGCTCGGTCAATATCGAGTTCGAGCTAATTAAGTCAAACTCGAGCTCGAACTAAAAAACATTAAGCTCGTTGGCTCTCGAGCTCAATTATATATATATATATATTTTTTTTTATTTTAATAATAAAATTACACATATATCCCTAATATTTTATTATTTGTTAAAAAATTATTATTTTATTTATTTTTAAAAATAAATATTTTATTTTTTGTTTTTAAAAAATAAATTTATTATTATTATTATTATTTTTTAAGTTCAAGCTCGACATTTTGAGCTCGTCGAGTTCCACAAAATTAACTAAAGACTCAGCTCGATCAGGCCAAAGTTCGGCTTAACTCGGTTCGTTTACACCCCTAGTTATGAGCTCATGTGACAACAATGAATGAAAGAATAAAGTAAGTAGATGACTTTTTTTTTTTTTTTGGATCAAATGACATCATATACACATACTCCTACTCTAACCTATTTCGGAGAGGAGATTGAAGGGGATTGAACTATCATTAGTTCTATATCGGTGTATCACGCACTCATATGAATTTAAGACAAATCACATTAAGTGGTAACTTTGAAGGAAGACAAGATTCGAACTTTTAACCTTTCGTCCCACAAGACATGTGGTGACCAGCTACTGCAAAGGTAACTTTAAGAAATAAGAGGACTAGGGCAGCGAAGTTTGTGCTTGCAGTTTATCGTGCAATAACACAGAGTGTCTGAATAATTTCTTTCTGAAGTCGCTAGTCCTGTGGCCATAAGTCCATGTGAATTATGACTGAAGCAGTGAGTTGAAGTAACACAAATTGGCTCTATTACCTTACTGTCTGGCCAAGGGCATTAGTTCGGGTCCCCCAGACCGGCGCTTTCTGCGGGAAAGCCCAAACACGAGGACACAGGGACCATTTTATGCAACCATGGGGTGATAATTGCAACGAAATTCTAAAAACCACCTGGGGACTCCAGTCTGCTGCGACCAGCTGGAGTACTACACCTACTGGCTCGACGGTGACTCCACATCTCCAAGTACACCCTACATAAACAAAAAAAACTTCTCTCTCTCTCTCTCTCTCTCTCTCTCTCTCTCTTGCCTGCCTGCATCTTTTCTCGAGGATCGCCTTGTTTTGTCTTGATCATCATCAATCATCACAGGGAGTATATTCAGAAATCATCATGGTCTTTTTTTCCATTTCTGCCTCTGAAATGAACATTGGTTTATACTTTAAATCGTGGTGACAGGGGCAGAATTACGGGATTCAAGAATGGATTTGCATATAGCAGCTTCAAGCAAGTAACTACTCGAGAATCTGCTATAACTAAAAGTATCATATCTAGCTGATTCTAAAGTGGTGTTTGGCAATTTTGATGAAGCCTCCTCTCCTCCAGCAGCAACCCCATCAGTGCATCTAATTAATTAATTAATGCTTGTTATCAGTTATCACCACTAATAATAATATAATAATAATAATAATTGCGTAGTTTAATAGAGTAGTAGTAGTACTTAATTACAAAGATTTTCTTGCCATTTTAATTTTATTAGTTGATGATGAATAGTGTAATATATAAAAGTTCCTCAGATGCGATTGGAAATGGTCCCACAAGAGACAAAGATAAGCAACTGGGGCTCCACGAAATGTCTGGATCCGAATAGATTCAACTAATAGCCAAATTTCTAAATGCTGTTACGTGGTAGTCGTACTTGCTTGTTAGGTAAAAGTACCTGAAAAAAATCTACTGTTCCTTCTCCCCCAAAAACACAAAAAAAAAAAAAAAAAAAAATGTAGCCAAGATGATCCGGCAATATTTTTGAACCATTAATTTGGAAAGACAACCATTAATTAAAGTGAGACCAACAATAATTAAAGTGAATCCAATCCACGTCAATTTCGTAATCTTTTCTTTTACAACCATGACACTTTCCGTCGAAGCAATAATTAGCAACAGATAAAACGTGAACTAATTCGTCAAACCAACAAAATACTATACACATGTACAAATCGAACACCACTACATCCTAAATCATATCCAATCCACTTCAGCTTGACACGCCATCATGTCTTCCTCACTTCAGCTTGACAGCTGACAAGCAATCATTTTTTTTAAAACAAAAAAAAAATACAGTATATATATATATATATATATATATATATATATATATATATATAGTACTTCCTCCGTCCCACTTTGATAGTCTTGTTTTCCTTTTTCGTCCGTCCCAAATTGTAGTCCACTTTTCCATTAAGAAATGTAGTAATCTTTCAAATTGTCTAAAATACCCTTATTAAATATCTTGTTATTAATACATAATGAGTTTGTTTGGATAATGTATTATTTGGAATAATTACTGTAGTACTTTTTGTGATGTGATGTATGTGAGATAAAAAGGTGGTTGGAAATATAAAAAGGTGTGTTGGAAAATGTATCTATGATGCAAGCGAAATATTATTTAGGATAATTAGGTATCCAAACACACTCATTGTTATTAAATACTAACTCACTACATTGAATACATTGAGCTTTTCCAATACACTCTTCGTGATTAGCATAAGGATATTTTAGGAAATTATTAATCTAAATTTATGTTTCCAACCAAATTAATTACACTTTCTTAATCTGTGTGAAAAAAAAAACCAAGACTAACAAAACGGGACGGAGGGAGTACTGTACTCTGATTTCTGTCCCAAATTACCGCATCCATTCCAACGAGTTATTTGGATATTGTGAAACGGAAACACATTTGATCGTGACATTTCAACAAATTCCCAAACGAAAAAATGAAAAAAGAACCGGATGGATGATAAGATAAGCTGCCTTATTCAACAAAAAAAAAAAAAAAAAGTATTAGCGCCGATATTGATTTTCTGTACATCAATCACCAAATTAAGAAGGGAGACAAATTATTCCCCTCTTGAGTTTACAGAAGAAACCACCACCAAATATGATTGACAATTACATCTTACAAGAAGCAGGGAAAAAAAATCAACCCAGTAAATTAAAAAAATAAAAGGGAAAAAAAAACTGAAACATTTACTGGGACGAATATTTGTTCTCTTCATTTCCCCCATCCCCCCTTTTAAATCTTTTACAGCGACGAATTTACGGCGGAGTCGCTCCTCTGGGAGGGACTTCTCCAAAATCCAGTGCTGTAAAATTTGTCCCACATTTCCTTCTCTAGCTCCACCACGTCTTTGTCCGACTCCGCCGTGAGAAGTGGCCCCGGGAGGGGGTGGAGCTGGAATAGCTCGACGTCATTGCAGCCGCATTTCCGGGGCGGCAAATGTCCCCCATTCTTCAGCTTGCGGCGCCGTTTCTGCCTCAGTGCCTTCCGACATAGCCCCGCCGGTACTTTATAGACGGCCAAGACCAGCAAATTCACCAGCCCGCACGGGCAGCAGCAGCAGACTGCCACGCATTCGGCAGTGGTCCCTCCCACGACCTCCGCCACCCGCTTGCTTCCTCGGCGCGAGCCGGTTTCTTCTTGGGTCAGGAGTGGCTGCCGGCGGTCCGTATAAGACGGGGGCGCCCGCAGAACAATTTGTTTCGTCATGAAAAAAGAGCAGCAAATGATTTGGAAATTAATCGTCAAGTGCCCCCGAATTAACTCTTGATTATATATTCATTCATGTAAACGGATACTTAGCTAAACAGGAAACGGAACAGCCGCTGTTGCTGCTGTGTTGGGTCTATTCAAATATTTGAATCGACCCAAATTGTGGATCAGATATACGAGGCGCTAGAAGAAAGAATGAGGCGGATGTTCAGCCATAGGTGGGAGGATGGTTTTTTTGTTTTTTGGGGGGGGGGGGGGGGAGGAAACGGTCGTAAACCTCGCTAGGAAGGAAATGACGGGGATAAAGATGGTTGTTGGTGATGTTTTAATAATTTTCCCAGTAAGATTTTTAATTTTTCTTTTTTTAACAAAAATCCCTCCCGAAGGAGCAGGAAAAGGACAGAGCTTTTTTGAGTTCAGAAATATTCCAGGAGATGTTGTTTGGATTGACCGATTCTAATGGGGGGATTGGGAAATTTCCGATTTCTTTGCATTTGTCTGTGCTCTTTGGGTGGTCCAAGAGCTACAGAGATTTGTTGCAGTCTTGCAGAAAAAGGGTTGAAGCCGAGCGAGACAGAAAGGAAAGAGAAGAGGAAGAGGATTATGGGGCTAAAGAGTGAGTGATTGAGACGGCGTGCATATATAGGAGAGGAAAGTGAATATGGAGATGGATTGTGTGACGGACGTTGAAACGCATACAATACAATGCCGAAATCAGGAATTGCACAGCATAATGCTGACTTATTGAAGATATATGCATTATTATTATACATATAAAGGGGAAAAGTAGGGATAAATGGTGGGACTGCAATTTGTTGGAGCGGTGATTCGAAGTGTGAAACGCACAAGACGAGAAAACGTAAGAGCAGGCAGTCCGTTTGAGCAGGATTTGTATTACAGGCAATGGTCTTTTGAATCTTTTTTCTTAATAAAATGGAGAAAAAAGTTAAAAGGTGGTCTTTAGGGACTTTAACGCTTTGATCGCCTTTACGCAAGATAAAAACAGTAAGGACGACTAAGGACTGGTAGCATCGCCAACGGCGTATTGATGTTAAATTCGTTTCGAGAGTATTGTTGATGATGTTTAAAGCATTTCTGAGAGTTGAGATTTTAAAATATCACTTTTAGTCGTTAACCGAGAGATGAGATAAATTCGATCTAAATTAATAAGTCGAATTGTGCAATCAAGTCGAGTTTGAATTCAAATTCGTATAAATTGAGATCAATTCAACTTATTGGAGCCCAATCGACTTTTAAAAAATTTTATTTAAATTTTATATAGTTTTATACAATGGACTGAATAAACATTTCATAGAAATAAATAAAAAATATGTGTGTATAAATCTCGATTAAACGCAACACAAATTTGAACTTTATATATTAGACCTAATTTTGAGCTCGTCGAGCAATTCATGTTGCTCGAACTCAAGGAACTTTTTTGATCGAGCAAAACTCATAGGTAAGGTCATAAGACATTAATTTACACCATAGTGAACGTAACTTGTTTGGATTGCAGTTTTTCGTCGAAAAATTATGTTGTTTTCGTGATCACATTTCCCTGTTAACTTTTTTCCTCGCATACATCAAATCGCTACAGTAATTTTTTCATGAAAAATGCAATCCAAACACAACCTAAACATCCCAGTGTTGTCTTATGTGGCGAACATAAGACATCTTAAGTAGGGCAGCATAAGACATCTTAATTAATCCCTACTTAATTAATTAAGCTTGATGAATGCGGTATCAAAACTATTATCGAGAGGAGGGTTATTGGGTTGTTCTGCATACGCTAACTATGGATGTTGAAGATCAATGCGTTGGCATATTTGTTAACTGCCTACGTCGTTGACTTAGAAAGGTCCTAACCGTGTTTAGATTGTAATTTTTTGGAGATTTTATAAAAAAATATATTGTAGCAATTTGATATATGCAAAATAAAAAAAAATGATTGAAAAATGTATTTACGGAGAACGTTTTTCGGTAGGAAATCCCTTTCCAAACAAGGTTTCTCTCTCATTTGTCTCGGTAGTAACAGTACAAGGACTTGTTTGTTGCCCGTATATCCAATCAATGTAACGTAACTTCATGTTGAAAGAGATCTTAAAAGCCAAAAGGTTTTGTAGTCTAAGCTCATATGTTTGCCATTTTGGTTGAAGAAAAAGTTTCTTCCCCTTTCACTTTCACACCCCCAGGTGTCTAAACCGCATCCATTGTCGGCTTAATTACCAAAACGACAGTAGTACAACCGCCCACGTTACTGACATACAGTAACTCGGAAAATCGATTGCTACTTGGCATCATACCAGAGACCTTATTGAAGTGCTTTCGGCAAGAATTTGATCAGAACCTTCTTTTTAACTCGCCATGAAATTGCAGTTTATTTCATGCACTATTATTGACTCCTCTCTCTTATTCTTTTTCTTGCGAATCATCAAAAGCCTACTGGGATTAAGAGTTAAATTAAAGTCGACATAGCATTACCGGATCTTGTGAAAATCCGGTTGCATATAATTTGATGTGATGCCCACTGTCGCTCGATGGGAGGCTGGACGGGACTTGCAAAATGAACCCCAAAGTTGTGACAGCTCAAATCCACCAAAAATGTAATCAATATTAGTAGCAACCTTTGCTTGCCGAAAGGAGAGACGCTATTCAAGAGATGAGAAAACGGGCAGTTAATTTCCTTTACATAATTATTTATCATCACTTACTTCGTCAAAAAACCAATAATTATTAAGTTTGGGCACGTGGCCTGCTTTGAATTGCCTATATATATTTTAAATAAATGTGTTAATTATTTTTTTGATTTCATATACATTAAATCGTTACAATATACCTATTAATATTTACAATAGTAGTTAACATTCCTCGTATCCTGACTGAAATTGACACGTTTGTACTGCTTTGTATGTATGATGTGGGCATGAAAAACAATTCAATAAAAAAAATAATAATTAAGCTCATCCTATTCATTACCTTTTCATCTTCTTGCACTGCCATATTGAGAGCATAATCTAGATTCCGAAAAATAAAATAAAAAACACTTCATACATTTTTAATAATTTGGCTGTGTCTTAAAACTCGTCTATTCATCATCATTCTAGCATTAAAAAAGCTTCATTTACTGCCGCTGATATTACACAATTAGCAGAGTTGTAAGGACATCGGTCCATATAAGCATCTATCCTGCGTCCAGTCCATAACAGCCCAACCTATAGTCGCCGCATCCATAAGGATTGACCCAAGTTCGATTTTATTTGTTGTTTTGGATGGTGTATACAAACAGGAAACCAAAAAAGTCTGGGCCTCGCTCTTCCCCGAATCCCGCTCGTCGCTCGAGTTTCGTCTCTCATTTTCCTCCCAAAATTAGCAGGTAGATGCCAGACTAAAAAAATCTAAGGCTCAGTGGGCCAATGGCTCACTAAAAAACTACTGGGTCAATGGCTCAGTAGCTATCAGAAGGGACTTAAGTCCCTCATTGAGCTGTTGGTGAGGGTTCAAACCTCATCAGCAGCGAAAAAAATCTAAAGTTTGTGCCATAGCGCTTCCTTGATCTAGTTGGGTTTGTATACCCACTACCCCCTACAACAGCCTCCTTAGGCTCCCCTCCCCCTAGATTAGGATAGATTAGGTTATACAATTGTATCGTTGCTGACATAAAAAAAAAAAAGATGCCACACTAAAAAAAAGATAGATTAGGATAGAGTAGGTTATATAATTGTATCGTTGCTGACCAAAAAAAAAAAAAAAGATGCCACACTAAAAAAAGAAATAATGAAAGAATAATAACGCGGCAATTCGAAGATGTCGAGATGCCTTGCAAAAAATACTTGTACAAAAGGCACAAATAAAAAGGAAAAAATAAAAAGGCCAAAATTATTCTACAATGGGAAAATTGACTACATAATTTATTATTTGCACATCTGATGAAACATTAAACCGTTCACAATTCTGAAACTTCCACTTAGTACCCAGCTGGCCAGGTTGCGAACAGCCAATACATTATTATTTGCACATCAAGGGAGGCAAAAAAAATTTGCACAAAGTATCATGCAGCATAGACACTGATCAGCAAATTCAAACGTCAAAGAACTTTCTTTTTTTTTTTTTTGTTTTTCCAATACAAAACAAGAAATTAAAAAGAAAAGGCATGGAAAATTTATTATACTAGTTCAACGCATCTACATTAGTTACTTGAGGCCTTTAAACTCCCTATCTTTTATGATCCCTTTATATAAAGCCTGCCAATTGAGGGGCAATGTCTCCAACTTTTCTTCACGTGCACGCTTTGGACACCCCACACCGCGCAGATCATTCTTCTTTGGCTCTGCATTGTGGCTTGAAGCCGCACGACGTGGCACAGCATCATCTGCAAACCTCACCTTCTTCAGTCGTTGATTTTTCTTAGACCCTGCAACCATTTCAGAAATCCATTTTGTTACCAGGGAAAAACAAATGACCCCCCCCCCCCCAACAAAAAAATTTGTTGTTGTTGTTGTTGGAAGTCAACTGATCATGCATCGTGTTTCACGAAAGAAACATCAATGGATCAAAAAGCAAAGAAACCGAATATATATATAGACTCCATAAACGAAGAAAAGGTAACAGGGCTGCAGGTAATTTTTAACCTATCTCAAGCTCCATCTTCTCCATAAAATCCGAAAGGAGGCGTTTGTGGAGTTGCATGGCTAGAAGAGCAACGCTTCCGGACACAGCGAAAACAGCCATCAACCCGGTTCCCAAGGAATTGTTATTATCCATGCTGTTGATGATCTGCTTCAAGGATTAATTTGTGGAATTAATCTTCCTCCAGCCAGCTAGCTTTCTTCTTCGTCTCAAGGATCATTAATGATTGGTCCGGTGAAAGACGATGGGATGATCAGCCATAACTCGGATACAAAGAAATGGAATGCGGAATGGAAAGGAGGAGAGTCAGGGACATTGCATTTGAAGAGTAAAGTGGTAATAGCTGGTAGAAAAAGAATGGAATATTTTGGGATGGAAAGGAAGGCATAGCCACCTGCTCTTTTCTTTAATTTTTGTCAAGAAAATGACATCAAACTCGAGACGGACAACATAACCAATTAATGGTGTTGACTCTTTCTTTTATTATTATAACCTCACCCAACCAAAAGCCTTTACCAACAACCGTTGTTATCATCACCCGGAAGAAAATCCTAAAGAGGGCATAGAAAGTACAGGAAATACCCACACAAGGCTGAAAGGGCAATGCAGTCATAGAAAAATCAACGCATCCATGATGATTCTGAGATAAGCCAACCGTCAAAAATATACACATATGGGAAAGCAACGGCAAGCAAACTCGTGTGCTGCGTAGTTCATAGCCCAAGCCACAAGGTAATTGGTTGTTTGGAGTAGCGTGGAATTGTGGGGGAAATGACATATGTTGGGTATAAATCTAAATTTGTGTTTCGTCTGTTGGTCACTACTAATTAACAGAATGACTTGGGGTTGAGCCTCTTCCTCATTTCTTTGTCAAAGAAAATTGTCAGCCATTCCTCTATGATAGATGGTGAATAAAGAAGGAAAATGTCAGCATCGTACAGATAAATAAAAAAAAAAAAAAAAAAAGTCTCTGATGACTGCGGGATTAAAACTATGAACCTTTTTAAAAGACTTGGAAAGAGTTAAATAACTTTCGACCGCGTTTCTAAAAATGCAGTCAAAGTGGTCCAACCCCTTGACCTCTACATCTAATGAGGGACTTAGTTGATTAGATCCTTGTCAGAGAAAGGTACAACACGGGTTTGGACAAATTTGGTGCTGTAGCTCCGAGGAGATTTTGGCTTTCTTTATTTCAAACGCACAAAGTTACAAATACTTCATCCATCGTGTCCCCAAGAAGTCTCTAGAAATGTCCCTTAGGCCTCCAATTGACCCCAAAGAAGAAAAATAACACAGTCCTACGGAAATTTTGGCTTCCTCTCGACTCAAAAAAGTCATACTAGCAAAGTTTCCATAGAGAATATAAGAGGAATTGTAATCAGAAAAAACATCACTGGAATGTTAGTATTATCGCATTCCATTCTAAGTTGAAAATAATGTAGGAATTATACTACTAATCATCAAATTGTTATTGTTGGTAGTATAATTAAATGGTGCATTTGGGACGAAGAAGTATAGGTATGAGGTGTCATATTAAAAAAAAAATAAAGGTACCCTTGCCAAGGAACGTGGATCTTACAGAACAGCCTGGATTACGTAAACAATAGCTCACAACGTATAAACAAAGTGGATCCGTGGCGCAATGGTAGCGCGTCTGACTCCAGATCAGAAGGTTGCGTGTTCGATTCACGTCGGGTTCAACTCCTGTTTTGTTTCCCTGCAGCATGTTTGTCACAGATATTTTTCCGTTCTTTTTTATTTGGGCTTAGGAAGATTGTGTGGTGCCTAACATGCTTAGGAAGATTGTATGGTGCCTTTGTCATTTCTTTCCTTCTTCCTGTTTTTCTTTTATGCGAAAATTTGTAGTACGATTACACTCAAAAAAGATGAAGAAATTTTTTTTTTTGATGGAAAAAAATGAAGAAGTTTAACAAGCAATTACTGCCAATGTGACAAAGTAATACTAGCACATTCCTTGAACTAATCTCTTCTTTTCAGGTGTTGTGCGAATTGAGCGAGTTTTTTTTTTTGGGTAATATATACAGAAATCCTAATTCTGCCCTACAAAAGTTCAATGGAGATTAGAACTGTTAAATGAACCGAACTATTTGATAGTTCAATTCGTTTCGACTCGTCTGTGTTCGTAAAAGACTCGTTCGAAACCTTAAACGAACTAAATTTGAACGAATTTTTTGTTCGATTAATAATCAAGCGAACACGAACATGTTCGCGAGTTTTGACAAACGTTCACAAACATGAACATAATTATCATTTGACAAATTTTAGAGTTAATTTTATGACTGGACTTTTATATTTGAAGGGCATATTGCTTTGTTTTATTTGTTATTTTTATATTAATGTTAGTTATATAGTTAATGAATAATAGAATTTAATCACTTAATACTGTAATTGTTTTTGAGAATAATTAATGAATTGTATAGTATATTTAAGATTTAAAATAATCTGGATTCGAGCATGTTCACAAACGACTCGTTTAACATAAACGAGTCAAACACGAACATGAATTTTGCTTAAAAAGTTGAACACGGATAAAGGTTTGGAGTTCGAAAGTTAACGAACGAACACGAATCTTGTTCGAATCGCTTTGTTCGAATCGCTTAACAAACAGAGCTCAAACATGAGATACTCGATTCGATTCGATTCATTTACAGCTCTAACGGAGATAGACCAGATTATTTCCTAAAATAAAAAAGAACAAAAAGCGGAAGCAGCTAGTCAGCCATCTTCATACCGTCCAAAGGCAATACATAAATTCTCGAGTGAATGGCAATACATAATTCTTCAGTGGACAGTTAAAAAAAAAAATCACCTATCACCGGGATTTCAAATTTGTTTTAACAAAGACGTGTAGGCTGTCGGGTTCTTGTAATAAGGCTAAGCACGCCCGCGGCTTAGAAAAACCAGGATGAATCATCAGTTGGCCCAGCTCCATCCAACCACGTCTGATGGACATGCACCCAAGTAAGCCCTTCTGGGACACTGACACCCTGTGTTGCAAATATGGATCAGATTAACAAGAAGATTCCCAGTTTCACAGTAAACTCCAAAATATTAGCAGTACTACCTTTGAACTCAATAAAACTGTCGTCAAGCAACCCTTCTGTTTTTCACCTGCATGTGGCAGAGAGTTATCAAATGGCCTAAGATTACAAAAGAATAGATGATGGCAAAAACCAAAAAACTTTGAGAACGACCAAAGGACTGTTATTACTCACTTAGGTCATGTCCATAGAATTACATCCTAAGATTAGCAGGCTGGAAAACAGATCCTGTACTTTTACACAGTTTTATGCAACACAAGCCAGGTTGTGTTCTTTAACCTTAAGTAATACTCTACTGTCAACCAGCGCTGGCCAATAAGTTCTTTGTTATATGTGCTCTAATTTACAAACCCATGGGACAATGGGGAAAGCGGAAAAGATTGTTGTGCACAGTTAAAAATGAAGACCAAGTAATTTACGTGAACCCACAGAACAACTAGTAATTTTCTCATTCTTCGGCATACGTTCAAACCAGCTACTCATTTAACTTTCTAAGGAAGGCAATAAGCTGTTATAAGGTCCACCAGTCCATCTTATATATTTATTTTACTGCTAGCTTTAGGAAGTAAGGCTCAAAAACCTATTCTTGAATCCACTGCTACATAACATTTAGGCAAACAAATTTTGTTTGTTTGTCACAAGTTTGTGTGGTAGAAGTACCCTTTTGATTTTCTAGACAGCCATTTCACTAAAAGCTTTTAATTCAAGGACAATCATGATTAGCACTTGAAAGATTGGTAAATAGAAGTCAATCGAGCAAGTTTAAGAGGAGAAGAAGTCCTCACCAGATAACTCCCATTTCTTGTACTTCACTAGCCAAGAGTCTGAACCAACCTGTGTTGGCAAAACCTGATCCACCCAAACCCGATAACTTTTTCCCTGTTGGTCACCATAGCAGGTCCTAAATGCATTTACACAGTCACCAAGAAGTTTTTCAATCCCTGATGGATGAACAAGCACACCAGATGGACACTGCAAGAGTAAAACAAGTAAAAGGTAGTTAATAAAACAAAGATTAGACCAAAAAGACCACAGATTAATGAAAAATAATAACCCAGCAACTTCAAACAGATGCCAATAATGCAACAGGTAGTGTGTACTGACACAACTATCAAACACATCATGATCTTAACCTTCCATTTTCTTCATACACTCATTTTCAACAGGTAGTCATCTTAGATGGATAAGCATGCAAAGTAGAATCTCTAATATTTTCATCTACTAGCATTGTATAAATCACAACCAGTATCAATACTCAGTTGCAAAGATCAAAAAGGACATAGAACTTTTACAGATGCCAAGTTGAAGTATATTTTTGAACTAAAAGACAGAGAACTACGCTAGAAAATTTTCATCTCCAAAAGGTGATGTACTAGCATGCAGGAAAAAGTATATATCCTATAACAAAACTGCATTAAAAGGTATGCCAACATACACAGACTGCTTTCATGTTTGCCAAATAAAGCTCAGACTTTTCAACTTCTGCACGTCTCCATCTTTCAAAGAACAAGTTAAATTTCACTACTTCATAAGCAGGATCAAAGTCCTCCAACTTAGAATCGGACAAGTCTGTGACATCTCTTGGAGATACACTGGGACCGAGGTTAAAATGGCCAATGGCTTGTATGATACCCGCTGCACACCTCTCAGTTGCATGAATGATCTTAGAATTATCTTTAGCATTAGCCGCATGCCATTGCAACAATTCTTCCTGGGCGTTACTGACCTACAGAACAGACACATGTTCACAAAGTGCCCCTGAATAATAATCTGAAAATCCATTTAGAAATTACAATATGATGAAGAAAAAAACACCAACCATGACGCCATATACTTCAGGTATGCTAAATAGTTCAGCGTCATTCCCAGAGTCTCCACAAACAAGCGTGTTGTTAGGTGATTTACCCTCAGCCTTGAATTTTTTAAGCAAATAAGCAAGTGCTTGCCCTTTGCCTGCACCTTGTGGTAATATATCCAAATCCATCCCTCCACTGTAAATTATTTTAACATCCAACTGAAATAATACACAATAACACAAGCTCAGTTAGTATTACCTAAGAGAAGATCTAATGGCTTTTCCATCACAAAAACTTCACTGATTTAAAAAATTCAGCTTAACTGGCATTTGACAATGAAATATCATACCCCGCGTTCTTCCAGCCGTGCAGCAAGTGCTTTAATTACATCTTGAGCTTTATCCTTCTGAACATAAAAGCTAACCTTGTGTGGTCGTTGCTCCGTGTGTGACTGTATACCCCAAAAGAACACTATCGCATAAGAACTCAAACACTAAGGACATTTTTCTATACTCTGCTTTGAACTCTACCTTCCAATCTCTTATATATGGGGTTCCACAAATTAAACAGGTTGAACTATTTGATTAATAAAGCAAAAATCAGAAACTGCAGCTGTAACTATACCTGAAGAGTAAGCTCTGGAAACTTGCTCGTCTCTTCTGTAACTATCTTTCTATCCCATTTCTGGTTTAGAAATTCAACCCAGCCATCATCAGGCACCATAGCATTGCCGTATGTGATTTCAGTCCCTACAGACATGATGGTAATATCTGGGGTCAGCATAGGCTTCTCTTTCCGCAACTCCTTGTACAGTGTAGGTGACCTCCCAGTTGAGAATACTAGCAGAGAATTGTCTCGATAGTTGGCTTCCCACAAGGCATTAAACCTAAGCAGAGACATATTCTCAGGATCGTGATGATCAACCTGCAAAGCAATAGTCTTACATGAGACATGCCATCACGAGAGAGAAAACAAGCAATGACAACCCACCATTGTGTGGTCAAGATCTGAGACTATCATTAGATGTGCAGCGTCAGCAAGCCGATCCATGGTGACTTTAATGTGAACTTCGTTCTGCAAAAAGATGCACGACTAAATTAGGAAACAGTAGATAGACTAAAACTGGTTCTAGGACCCTGAAAACTATGTAATGTATTGGTATATAAAACTAGATTGCAAACTGAAATTGTGGCCTTCCAAGCAACAGTGGATATATCATGATAAGGCTTACTGTAGTTGTAATTGACAATTCGATGCATTATCGGTCAAAACAACATTAAGTTGCAGGAAGCAGGAGCAACAATTCTGAAAGAATATTGCCGTATTGTGCTACTAATAGATACAGATTCTCTAGCTGTGTCAGTCGAGATAGGAAAATTGTGGAAAGCATCCAACCTTCGATATCAAAAGGTACTCTCCATGTCACACTTGATCAAGTCTATACAGGCTCCTACTGTCCCACACGATACCTAGTACAACATCCTCTTCTACATGGGCTTCAGGAAGCACACATTTTTGTTTCACTGATAGCATGAGAAACCATCCGCCCACAATGATATCATTAACCAGGTATTTAGCTCTCTAAAAATTATGTGAAAAAGATCGAAATCCCCGGTTTCATCATAATCTGCCACTCAATAGCTCTTGTTCCCTTTTTATAGAAGAGGAACTAAATCCAATAAAAATACCAAAAAACAAATCTAGATCCTTGTCTTTTCCCCCTTGCGAGTAAGTACAAGAATATTGAAATACCGGGGAAAACAAATCCAATGGTACTTAAATCCATTTCAATTCTCATTCAATCAAAGAACCCTCGCTGCTAAAGTCTCATTTGCTCTATAGTAACCTAAATTCAGTGAATCCTTCAAACCATTTTTTCCTTTCACCATATAGAAAACTTGCTAACCATATTCTCAGTCTGCACAAGCATTTCAATTATCCAATACAATGCGCAGATCGTACCAAAAAACACAACCCACTCATCATTAAGCAAATCTAATTCGTTAACAAGAATCATCCATGGATACACGCCTATACATATACAATCATACACAACTGATTTGTGCGTATTTAGTGTGTTTGATTTTGCACAGAGCTAAAGAGTACGAGGAAGAGTGTACCGGAGTAGGAGGGGGAGGAAGGGACGCGGCGGAGGCGATGGGTCGGATAGGGGAGGAAGGATGAGTTCGCAGGAGGAGGAGGAGACGTTCACCACCTGGAGGATAACTACCTGAGCCTGACGGGGAAAGGGGAAGAGGAAATGAGGATGGCCTTACGAGTTTTGGTCCGAGACAGTTATTGATAATTGGCTGCAGCAGATATTGGGAACCAATTCTTGGCATTGGATCCAATTTCTTTGGCGCTTCTTTTGTAAACTCCAAGCTATAGTAGTGCTATACTCGTACGTAGTATATTGTTCCAGGAATTTTTGACCAAATTTTAGAATTTTTTTTCCATTCTCTTTTCCTTTCTTTTTTCACTCTGTCTACGTTGTGCGAGTCAGAGTACTTGAGTAATATTCTTTGGGGGTTTTAAATCTTTTAATTTCTATTGCGTGGGCTGAATTTGAGCCGTCCGATATATATTCATCAATATCGCCAAGGTTGGGAAATTTTTGTCCCGCTCTCCTACTCCAAGTGGAAGCTGGAAAGTGAAGCAGCACTTTGATGCTTGAAGCCAGTGAAGTTAGGAATAGGGATATAATCACGTAACCAAAGCATATTCTCGAGGGTTATACTCTCCAATGATTCCTAATTTGTTTAGATACCTAATTTCTTTTAGAGTAAATCTTTTCTATACTGACGGTGTATACACTATTATCGTGGGATTCATAACATAATGTGTGTAAAAGTTAAATTTCAAATTCAAATTTTATATAGTTATCATTCATTCAACGTTGATAGTGTATACATTGTCAGTGTAGGAATGATTAATTCTTTCTTTTTTAATTATCTTCTCCTATATCTTTTTTCCTCTTGGGCTATCTCCTCCCATATAAATTGTGTGAACAACCTTCTTTTTCTTCCTTTTATAGATTGAGAGTGTAAATATTGTCCAAGGAGATTTGGGTTTTCCTTTTTTTTTGATAATAGGAGATTTGGGTTTTCCTTGTATATCAATCGTGAGTTGCATTATCACTTCCGTTGCTTAAGTTGTAAACTCCAGTGAAAGATTTTACTTCTGTAGTGATTATGTGGTAAATTTTAGGGTTAACTACATAATACATCCACTTAAACTCCACATTGTATGCTACTAGTAGTATAGCAAGTAAATGCATTTTCACACACAATTTTACATTTTCATTCAAGTACTATGTCTCTATCTTTAGTTAAATGCAAAAACTTACTTCCGAACTTACAAAAGACTAACCAGAACACATTTTGCTCCATTTCTTATTTTCATTCATGATATTGATAAACACTTATAAATAGGATGTGTCTTTTTTCACCAATTTTAAATAGTAAAAGACAAAGCAAGTCTTCTTCTTCTTCTTCTTTTCTTTCCCCTTAAAAGCAAAAAAATAAAACAAAAAAAGGAAGCAAAAACAAATACTACTACTCGAGAGATGCTAAAGAAAGTGAAGATTCAGACATTTTGTCAATAGATATAGATATAGAATTGCCTAAGAAAAAAGTAGCTGTAGGATTCAGTTCAGTGGAAGGCTGAGATAAAGCGCTACGAAATTCTACGCCCCCTTGCGACTTCAGCTGAACTGAGGAAGTGCACCACCCAAGTGAGAGACCTACGCAACGGAAGCGGCAATTTACCGTGGAAAAGGGATAGAGCATGTTAACTGCCAACTGAAATCAGACATCTAGAATTTCTGGACAAATATTATCCCACTCAAATTTTTCGTCCCATCTACTCTCCCTGATGAGGAATCATCAATCAGAATCACGAGCATGTTAATCCATTCTCAGATTTCCCCTATATTCCCAGCAGATACTACAAAATTCCCACCAACTTATAGTTACTAGACTTTCTCATCACTTCAAAACCTATCCACTGCTCTTCCCCTCCACCCTCAGAACATTTCCCTGTTCTTTTCCCAACAAGAATCACTGCATTTTTTCCCCTTTTCCCTATACATATTGTCTAATTCCCAGAAATCAAGAACTCAGTTTCATGGCAACCTCTGCTTTAAATCCCCTATCTTTCAATACTGCGGCTAAACGATCTTCATGGCCCACAAGCAAAAAGTTCAAATCTTTATTATTTAGCCCCGATGGAATTCCCGTTATCATGAGCTGCAAAATGGGTATCTTGAATTCTGGGTTCTACAGTTCTTTGCTGCCTTCCAGTAGCTGCAAGATGATACCTTTAAGCAGTTTCAATCACAGACTTCGTCAATACCCGCTGGGACTTGGCACTTCTGGTAGTCACCAGAGTGGTCAATTTGATTTATCAGGCGTTTCGAAGGGTGGAAAGGGAAAGAGACGGAGCTTTGTCTATGTGAAATCACTGGTGGATGTGGATAAGGTGGCGGAGAGCAGTGGAAGTTTTGTAGGATTTGAAGGAAGTAGGACCTATGATGCCATTGTTATTGGCTCAGGGATTGGTGGACTTGTGGCAGCTACTCAGCTGGCTGTAAAAGGAGCCAAAGTTTTGGTCTTGGAGAAGTATGTAATCCCTGGAGGAAGCTCAGGATTTTATGAAAGGGATGGCTACAAATTTGATGTGGGATCATCAGTAATGTTTGGTTTCAGCGATAAGGTTAGTTAATTTTGATTTAGACATGTCTTGTATTGTAATCGTTTAATAGGCTATGAGTTGCATATCTTGGTTTTCTTGCTAAAATGGAGCAATTTTAAACATTGTATATTCAGTTAGCCTTCACTTTATCATAACTGTTCACACATCGATGAAGCGTAATATTTGAAGTTGATAAGGGAACTGCTACTTATGTGTACGATCTCTGTGGCACTTAATCCAAAGGTTGCTTTGAACCCCCTCGAGCCAACTCAGTGGATTCCAAAAACTTTGTGTTGCTTGGGTAACTCTCCTTCATTTACAAGTTTGTGTTGCTTGACTTGTTAAACCAGTTCTTTTCTTGAGCTTAATTGGCTATCTACATTTGTACATTCCAAACTCTGTTCTATGTATGAGTACATATTTGGCTTCGTTATGTTTTTCTGGGCTCATGGGGCTTCTTTTGCTCTCTTTACTTGTTGATCTTGTCCACTAGGTCTGATTTAAATTTGTCATAAATGTGTAGGGAAATCTGAATTTGATAACTCAGGCATTGGCAGCAGTAGGATGCAAGATAGATGTGATACCTGACCCAACTACAGTTCACTTTCACCTACCTGATGATCTCTCTGTCCAAGTACATAGAGAATACAGTGATTTTGTTGCAGAAATCGTGCATAAATTTCCACATGAAAAGGAAGGGATTCTTAACTTTTATGGTGAATGCTGGAAGGTTTGTTTTCGTTAAGGTGATTGCTGCTTCCTGTTGTAGTATTTTTTTTTAGTTTTTGACACAAAACTTACACTGATGATTTGACTATGTATTCGTAGATCTTTAATTCCCTGGACTCATTGGAGTTAAAATCACTTGAGGAGCCAATTTATCTTTTTGGGCAGTTTTTCAAGAAGCCTATTGAGTGCTTGACTCTTGGTAAATTACGCTGCTTTTAATCAACTTATCAGGTGTCTATGATAGCATAGTCTTATAAATTGATATTATTGCCTACTCATTGTAGGTGTGTTTATGCATCTCTAAGGATATGATATAGGAAAAAAGGGAACAAATTTGGATGAGAGCTACTTGTATGGTTTATTAGTTTTTAATTCTGAATCCTTTTGCAATTTGACTAAAGGAACTGTTGACATTTTTTGATCTAAATTGCATCGATATTATGAGAACAGAACCTTCTGCAGTGATGCAGTGATCTACATTTTGCATAGTTAGTGACATTTATCTGCCATGCTATAAAATTGGATGGCAAATAAAAGTGGCGTTAGTATAATGTTTTTTTGGATTTTAATGATGAGGTGATGATGGAAAGAAGAGCTGTGAGAAGCGATGATGATCATGCTGGTAAAATTTCAAGCATTTAACAATTGATGCTCTGGGTTTCTGAGTCCTTTCTATTTGTTTTTTGATTAACTCATAAACACATGCACAAAGATGATGTTGAATCCTTGTCTGGAAATTGTTAATCTTTAATTAGAAGAAAGAACTTGAAATCCATTTTGACAGAACCTCTAATCATGTTGTTTTTGGCACAAAAGCACAAAACATCTCTTCTCATTTTTCGCTTGCTGTGCTTGTTAGCCTACTATTTGCCCCAGAATGCTGGTGACATAGCTCGAAAGTTCATTAAGGATCCACAGTTGCTATCCTTTATAGATGCAGAGGTTGGTTGACTGTTATTTAATCAAAATTTTCTTAGGCATTGGCTCTTGCTATGACCTATTGGATGGCCTGGTTGAGGTCTAATAACCAACTTTTTCTTATCCCAGTGTTTTATAGTAAGCACAGTTAACGCTTTACAGACACCAATGATCAATGCAAGCATGGTAATCTACTTTTTAGTTTAACCAAATATGTTTTGTTGTCATCATAATGTCTGACATTTTTCTTCTGTAGGTTTTATGTGACAGGCATTTTGGAGGTATTAACTACCCTGTTGGTGGGGTTGGTGAAATTGCCAAGTCCTTGGCAAAAGGCCTGGTTAAGAAGGGCAGCGAGATACTTTACAAGGCAAATGTGACAAACATTATAGTTAACAATGGAAAAGCTGTGAGTTTGACTACTTTCTTGTTCCTCTTCGCTCATGTTGTTTTACGAATTATTTGGGCATGTAAAATGTTAGTTCATTAATCCCAATTTAATTTTTGCTTTAGGTGGGTGTGAAGTTGTCAGATGGAAGGAAGTTTTATGCTAGAACTATCATATCAAATGCTACTAGATGGGATACATTTGGTTAATTCTCAGACTTTGCTTTCAAATCTATGTGAATCATCTTTTAAAGATATTAAAAAGGGCCTATAAGTGTTGATTGCAATGGTCCTTTTGATTTCTAAATGGATGGCACCTAATTATATAAGGTCATTTTTTTCAGGAAAGCTATTAGAAAAGAAAAACCTGCCTAAAGAGGAAGAAAATTTTCAGAAAGCATATGTTAAAGCTCCATCTTTTCTTTCTATTCACGTGGGAATTAAAGCTGAGATTTTGCCACCAGATACAGATTGCCACCACTTTGTCCTTGAGGTGCTGTTGCTATTTGAGAGGAGTGAAGTGCTGTTCACCAAAATCCTTCTAGCCTTTTTCCCCTCATTCTGCTATAGCTTGACTTTTTCTTCCCTTTCTTTGAAGGATGACTGGAAAAATTTAGAAAACTCATATGGAAGTATATTTTTGAGTATTCCCACGGTACTGGATTCGTCATTAGCTCCAGAAGGACGCCATATTCTTCACATATTTACAACTTCTTCCATAGAGGACTGGGAGGTGGGTTTCTTTTGTTCTTTCCTCAAACCGTGCACTACTTCTGAATAGAAAATTCTACCAGCTTCAATAAGTGGGGTTTTAATGTTTTATGACAAGTATAAGATGGCCTCTTCCTATCAGGGACTGTCTAGAAAGGACTATGAGGCAAAGAAGGAGCTTGTAGCAGACAAAATCATAACGAGACTTGAAAAGAAACTCTTTCCAGGCCTGAAGTCAGCAATTGTTTTTAAGGAGGTATAAAGCTCTGCTAGAAGTATCATACTTCTATCAGTAGTCATATGTCGTAGGATATAACTTCTTTGGCTTTTATTCTACTGGGTAGTACCAGACACTTCTTTCATGCTGAAATGTCAAAACTGTCCTTTGTTTGTAATTGGCACATCTTAGAACAGGTCTGTGTGATGCAGCACACCTCTCTTTTTGTAATTCTTCATCCATGTAGTATGCCTGTGTTTGGTGAACCTTTCAGGGTTATGATAGCTTTCTTACTTTTTCTAATGCATCACCAATGGCAGGTTGGGACACCAAAGACACACCGACGGTACTTGGCTCGTGATAGTGGTACTTACGGCCCAATGCCACGTAATACTCCTAAGGGCCTATTGGGAATGCCATTCAACACGACAGTAAGGAAAATTAGTGATTTTCATTAATGTGTTCTTGATTATCAGTGAAAGGACATGCTCCAAGTTTATCTCGTCTAATCAATAGAAGACTGCTTCATGGTGCGTGAAATTTGCAGGGTATCGATGGTCTATACTGTGTTGGAGATAGTTGCTTTCCAGGACAAGGTGTTATAGCGGTTGCCTTCTCAGGAGTTATGTGCGCTCATCGGGTAGGTGCTGACCTAGGTAAGCATTTTCCAGAATCCTTTCTTGGTTACTAACCTTTTATTCACTGAAAATTTCCTTACAAATTAGTTAAACGAAGTTAGCTATGTGGTTCGTGTCACTTCTTGTTTTGTGTTGTTCATTTGACTGGAACATTTTCTCTCATTAATATAGGGCTTGAGAGGAAATCCCCCGTACTGGATGCTGCCCTCCTACGATTACTTGGTTGGTTGAGGACGTTAGCATGAGAATGTTTTTGAGTAAAGAACAAGGGAAAGTCATTAATTTGGCTGAAAGTAGTATCAGTTGAGTTTGAATGTCATGACTAAACACCCAAATTTGATGGGAATATATCTGGTTATAGACACCCTCTCTCATATATGCAATGTTGTCCAGTTGGAATCAAACTCATAGGCACTTCATTGCTGGAGTAGTGCTTATCTAGCTTTCAGAAAACCAATGATTCTTAGTTGAATTGTGAATACAATGGCATTCAGATTTAATTGCAAATGCCATTGTGTATATGACTATTTAAATTTTTATGCAGCATCAATCATAATAATAATCTTTGGTGTGGATATTCATCTCTGTATGGGAACTAAGGAATGTTTTGATATTTGATGATTTCGTTCTATAGCAACGGATCATATTCTCGGATGATGCACAAAAACTTCAACGGGTGTTAAGATCTTGCTGCAAACACAACGAGGAATATGAGTTCATATATCATACTAATATTTTGGAGACCTTGTCCTAGTGTAATTGACTCTTATCACGTCTAAGAAACTCGCATCTCCCGTTTCCGAATTTCTGATACACTAAAGATTGACGACCTGCCTAGAGGTGAAAAATTTAACAATCCTACCTTAGTTATCTTAAAAGAAACGTCTGGCTGCTGTAGATTCTGCTGTAGGCCGCTCATTCTCTTCAAGTCCTAAGTTCCAGGTTGCAGCTTCATCCTTCGTAAAGATACATAGGCTAAGAGTCTGTAGCCAACAACCATGGCTGCCAGCACACTTACTTCTTTGAAACCGCTGTCTATTCTTATCCCTTCAATTGTGTGACTTATGTGTTCATACTGCACCTTCAGAAGAAGCTTGTAGGTGTGATAGTTAAACGACAGATAACTGAGCCAAGATATGAATACTGGTACTTTCTGCAAAATGGAGAAATCCCCTTTTCATTACTCATTTAAACACATAATTGGGAAGTGAAAATCCAGATCTTTTAATCAGGTATGGTTTCTGCTTTACAATTTTTCATTGAAATCAAACTGCCAATCTTCTGGATTACATGGATGTTGAGTTTAGTGTTACCAAAAAAAGTCGTCTCCAGAACTGGTCAGCAGGACTTTGGGTTGGTTTAAGTGGATACCTAAGTGCTGCATGTTTATACAATTAGTTTATGCAGTAATTGGAGGGAGAGTATGCTTACCTTAACAAAATAACCCCCAGCTAACATGAAGGTCATCACAGTAACAGAGGCCAGAGTTGTTGACTTCTTTAGATCCATCAATGTTGCCCCGATTGCTAATCCAAATCCCTGCCATTGAATAATCATTAATGATGGAGTGCAGTAGCTATGTCATTTTCGATAGAAAAAAGTTGATATCATCAAATTCAAAATGGTCAAACCTGAGCTGCTACAATGCACAGGAAAACTGTAACCACGGTGAGGAAAAAAGAACCGGCATTGAGCCTGAGACCTGCCATAAAATATACAACCAGAAGGAAAAGTACTGGCAGTAAAAGGTCAAGTGGAATGTCACTTGTCGTCCTGGCCACAAAATATGCACTTAGTCTATACATGTCAGCTGCTCGTTCCTTGCTCAGCATGGCTCTTTCTTGAGGAAATGTGAATATTGCAGTGAAAACTGGGAAAAATCCCCAGAAGACAGAAATGAAGAAGAGCAACCCAGCCTGCAAAGCCATATTAGGTTGAGAACCATATTCATTCCCGTACTACAGAAAGAGAAACTTTGATATTTGGTACATGACAGACTATCGATGAGATCAGTAGCTTTAGCAAGTAGCCCCAATAAAGACTTTCTAGTTTCTTAAATATATTTGCTGAGACTTTTATCTTTTTGTTTTAAAACATCGTGGTAATAATGATCCACAGTTGTTAATGGACTGGTGAATGTAAATCTCTTTGTTTATCTAATTAGCTCCCCCACCCCCGCCACCCAACAAAAAACCACCTCCCCCTCTCCACGTATTTCTTTGCTGTGAGTGGTCATTGGGATCTGTTGAAGCTACGTCACCTTAAATAAGTCAAAGTGCAGTTGGATCAAAACGAGAAGCTATTGAAGCTATGTTTGGATCGAAATTTCTAGTTTGCAATGGTGGTATTGCACATTAAGCAACTTTCTGTAACAACAGAGTATAGTTAATACCTGATCTTGCACTTCTTTGGGGTTGTTGCTACCAGACTGCCACCACAGCATTCCCAAGATAACAGCAGTTGCAAGAACTTGGGTGATCCTCAACCAGCTGAAATAGTCATGACGCCTTTCTTTGAGTCCTCTCCAGAATAGTATAGAGTACTGTTCAAACCAGCTGGCTCCCCATTCTCTCTTCTTGGAACATACTTGAGACTTAATTGCCTCGTCAATTTGCAGAGGTACCAATAGTTTCTTCTTTTCATTTTCAGCTACTCGTGTCTCATAAGATTCCACAAGATACTGCTTTGACATGAGAAAATCATCACAAAATTTAGATTCTTTTGTTTCTTATGATTATACAGGCATATATTTTGAAGCCCTGAGATGTTAGTAAAACTTATATCCAAGATAACCACGAACGGAAAATTTTGGTTTTTTGCTGTGAGATCAATGTTGACGTCCTGTCTGAACCATTTATTCTTTAGCCCTCAGATGTTAGTAAATTTTGGTTTCATTTATTCTTTAGCAACTTTCTGTTTAAACTATTTGACTTTTGCCTTTTGTTTTCACTGAGAAAATTTATGACCTATATAAGTTTGATATATACTGCTAACTACAAAATAAGTTAAGACCTCCAGATTTCAATTCAAATGTATATAAACCTAGTTAATCATATGCCAATAAAATTTTATAAGTATCTTCACCTCATGCACAATAGTAGGAGATGGTCTTCCATTTCTAGTCTCTGTTTCTGTATTCCCCAATTGTACCCTGTCCTCCAATTCAGAAGGGACTGAAACATCATTTAAATTCCCATTTGCAAGATCTAGCAGGAACTCTGCGGGGTTCATTGCAATTAGTGGTGAGCATCCTACGGAGGAAAAGTAAACCATAGCTTCTGCTGCTTTTCCAAAGTAAAGTAAATTCCCTTTGCCTAGAAGAATCAGTTTGTCAAACTTGTGGAAAAGTCTGCTGGACGGCTGGTGGATTGTGGTGATCACTGTCTTACCAGCCTGCCAGAAAGTCGAAAACATCAGTTTAACATGTTTCCTGTTCCCTATAATTCTTGACGATCATAATCCATCTTTGAGTTATCATTATGTTTGTTTATTTTCTATCAAAAGTAATTTAATGAGGCACAATCAGAATGATAGGAAGCGTGCAATGAGTTCACCCTATCCCCAAATAGTTTATAAATGGATTTGGATCTCAAGGGAGAATTGAAGCAGAATTAATATCGTAGGTTTGTTGAACATAATTTGAGTGATCAATTTTGTCGCCTGTAATTAAGGTAGGAATAACTCTACCCCATTTTATGCAAAATGAATTTGACCCGCAACAAAGGACGATAGAGAGGATTTTGATAGCAGCTTACCTCAGCTATATCCTGCAGAAGTTCAACAATCCTTAAAGCTGTGGTAGAATCCAAGCCAGAAGTGGGTTCATCGAGGAACAAAAGAGATGGGTTTATAATTATCTCATTTCCTATACAGACACGCTTCCTCTCTCCACCTGAAACTCCCCGGACAAAGGAGCCACCAATCATGGTGTCTTGGCACCTGTGCACATGATGTTCCTTGCAAGCTTAGCTTTGTCACTTCTAATCTGCTGGTTGAGTTAAAATCACTTGATACTTCCAGATGCAAGAGAGCGTAAAATTGAAAATTACCTCTCTAATCCAAGCTCATATATTACATCTACGGCGCGTTGTTCTTTTTGCTGTTTTGTCAGTATACTTGGCAATCTCAGCTGGGCTGCAAATGTTAATGTTTCTTTGACCGTAAGGTGCGGGAATAGCACGTCATCTTGGGTCACAAATCCAATCCTGCCAAAAAATGAAATGTTATTCTACTGCATTCATTCCTTTTCGTTTTTAAATTTTATCTATCATACCTGGAATTTGCTTTGACATTATCTTAGGAAGAAATGAAAATATGCAGCTGAATGTATAATTTGCAGCTTTGTGTAGGTTTTGATGGATAACCAGTTTGATTGACCAGTTCAACGAAATTTATCCTGATTGCGGTTCTCCTAGTCCTAGGCACTTCTTTACTCAACTGTGCTAGTTAAGGTTGATGCATTTGGAGTTCATGCGTTTTCATTTTTAGCTATAGTTTGAATCTGGGTAATATGCAGATGGGACTTGCAGTTTCTTCTTAGTTTTCTCTTTTTGTGAGCAAATAATAAGATTTACACCAGACCTGTTGTTCATAAATTGAGAGATTAGGAATTGGCTTCGTATGATCTGGAGGCATGTGCGATTATGTTGGTGCTTTTGAATAATCATTTCACATGACATGATTTGAGGGTACTTGTAGTTGAGTTCTGCAAAAATGTGAAACTTCTGAAAAAGAACTATATACCTGCTTTTTAAGAACTTCGAGTACGGCTGGTCATTGTATGTAACTGAACCGCCTGTTGTTGCTCCCCTTAACCTGCCACCCAGCAGACTGAGCAGGGTAGTCTTTCCGCTTCCTGAAGGGCCCATCAGTGCCAGAACTTCACCGGGATTTACTGAACCGGTTATCCCGTTCAATATATCCTTCTCAATTGTTGACGTCACTCCTTTAATGACTATCTTGTATGATACATCGGTGAACTGCAGTTAGGAAGAAAAGTTCAGTATAAGCTGACGGACAAGAATTTTCTCTATTCTTTCTTCGTGTCGTGAAGTGTGCAGGTGGTGTGATTGTGGACACCAAGTTCATGAAACTTATCATAATGGCAATATAATACTACGGTAATCGTGCACTGAAGCCGTACACTTAGCCTTCTACATGACTGAAAACTTACAGAATTCTGGAAGCAAAATGCTGGTGGCAAACTTGAAACAGCTCTACAGACTCATTTAAACTAACTTGACCTTTTGGTTAAACCTTTTCCTTCATCTCCTATTCCGACTATTAGGTTATTATCTGGTTAAAGGAAAGTCTTGTACAAAAAGCCATATGAAATGAGATTCTGTACAAGACTGAACCTGACATGCTAGCAATGTTCAAATGGGTCTCGGTGATCGTTACATAAATCTCCACCCCTGCCTGTCCAAATAGATAGTATTCAATCAATCCAAGATGCAAGTAGAAAAGATGGGTGGTTCGACACCAGGTCATGCTCAAATTTGTGAATGAAATAGAGCAAAAATTTTGGAAGGATTCTGCATGGGGGAGCATTTCACCTTCAGATATATTGGCAAGGTGGGCTCTGTGTGAATCTTCTTCTTACGGGTGCCTGCTTCAAGATCTTCTGCAAAAAAAAAAAAAAAAAACACAGATTTTTACCGGGCATAAGTTATATGCCAGCCATGTATAAATGGATGGGTGACAAACTTGGAAGCGGAAGTAGGCAAGTAGCACTGACATCATCAGATCATGCATTGATGCTAGAATTGCTATTCAGCTTATTTTCGTTTCCTGACGTTCTTTTTCTCAAGCTGTCCTGAAGAACTCTAGTAAGGCGTTTTTTATATCAGTCATTAGCATATAAATCATCTATGTAGTGAAACGCAGTATTTTAATCTCATTCACTAGATAAGCCTTGATCTTCTTGATTTTGTAATTCAGAGCAACCGCCCTCTAATTCATCCCATGCCAACTTTTTAAGCAACAGGGAAAAGCTAACCCTCCACTTGACATCCTTACCTAAGCTAGATGCAAAATATTAGCTACTGAATGGGGGTGATACAGCCGCCGTTCCTTTGCTCTACCAACTTTTACTTCAGATGCACATTTGCGCAGCTTGTAGCATGGCAACCCCAAAGTGCACGGACAAGTTTCAATACTTCCATTACCGTTGCTAAAGAATCTCAGCTCCTTAATTAGTGGAACGGTTGAAAACTGTTTATAAGCTGACAAATGGTCCAGAAAAAGTAAGATGCTTGCTTAATGCAGCCGAGTAATGTTTTCGACAAAAATAAAAGTATATATATATATATATATATATATATCCCGCTTGACACATGCCCAGCGGTCGGGTGCTGGACGGTGGTGCCGTTAAGAATTACTAAGATATAAGGGCCGGGAGAGCGGGGAGGAACGTCACCAGAGCAAGAAACATGTACATGCAGCTATACTTGTCACCTAAGGGGACACTCTGTCTACTTTTGCTGCTTCTGGTGCCGTGCCATGCTGACAAAATTTTCCAACTTGCGGAGAAATCGCTTTCATTTTGGTGTCATCCACGCTGTGACATTGGCAGAGCCACAACGTAGATGGAGTTAGGGTTGGACTTGGGAGTCGACGAGGAGGACCATTTTGGGCCCACCAGTAACCAGGCTCCCCCCCTTATCTGGTTACATTTTGAGTTTTGACCTCAACAAGTGGCTCACGGATTGGGCAGTCGTGCAGTTTTTGGTAGTTTTGGGCCCCCCCCCAGTACTGGAAAATGGACCACAAATGTTTGTCTTACCATCATTACTTCAGCGGATTATTCAGGACCACTAGAAATAAACAAAGCGACTCCCTCAATTCACGGCCGGGGGAAGGAATTCATTTCCGAAATATAAAATCTATACCTATGTCACGAATAAAAGGCCAATCATGAGTTTTATAAGTTGTTTAGTGGAAAAGCTCGTTCGTAATTTTATGAAAAACAATCATTAGGTTGTTTGGATTGAAAGTTTTTGTATCAAAACATACCGTGACGATATAATAAAAAAATCATTAAAAAATATATTTACAATACAAACAAGTGTTAAGATACCGTTTGGATTGTTATTTTGTAAAATAAAAAAAATATTATAATGATTTAATCTGTGTAAAATAAAAAAATATATTTACAAAAAAAGAAAAAGTAAAAATTTTTGTTTAGAAAACTACAATCCAACGGGTATTTAAAGAAACAACAAAGACGAAATAGTAATAGCCTTTGAAACCTTTAGCTTTGAGTTAACCAAAGGCTCCCATCTCCCAACAAATTGATTGCGAAGGTCGTAAAATTTTACCTGGGCATTGCCTTTTGTGTATTCATTTAAATGACGTATGATGGATGGGGACTTTTACGGCTGAAAAGCATAGCCCAAGGATAAAAATTAAAAACAGGTTAATTAACATCAGAGAAAAGACCTTTAACGTTTTCCTCTTCTAAATGTTGTATCCTCTATCGCAGCTCCTCAACAAATGGAGGCCTTCTTTTAAGGCTTAGCAGAGGCTTCTCTATTAATTTTCCCGTAATCGTTTCTCTGGGATTGGAGAATTGGGTAGTTAAGTTCTCAAGTTTATCTCAAGAGTTGTCGATTTTTTGGATTAAATTTGGAATTAAGTTTAACTAACTAATTTCAAAAATCTGAAAAAAAAAAAAAAACCAAACAAATGGAGGCACTATTAATGTCGGCTGTTTGTTAGCAATCTTCCACTTACAATGATGTGCCCTCGCGAAAAGGGAAATCTCCAAATTTCCAAATTCATGATTTCCGACGCCATCCACTTTGAACCCAAATTTATCTGTTTAGCATTTTTGGCAAAATAGGAGTGAGGAAACAGGATATCAATTGTGGCATAAAATCCCTATCAAGAACGACCTCAATCCATTTGCATTTTACACAGGTCTTACGAGGGATGGACCGGACCTTCTTCTTAAACTTCACATCTAACAATAATCAGTCAAGTATTTTCGTATATATATATATATATTGGAGCGTGAGATAAATTAGAACCATTAATTCTTTATGAAAAAATTTGAACGCTTTTCGGATATGAAACTATCCTAATTAAAAGAAATTGGATATCACACGCATGAGGGATTAAAGGCAATCTTCACATCATTATTAAAAAAAAAAAAAAAAAAAGGCACAAATCAAAGACGAATTCTACGCAACAGCAGAAGAATGCTCAAAAAAGAAAGCAAGAAAAAAAAAAAAAAAACTCATGTGATTAAATTGTAAAACACTAAACGCTTAGGAGAATATCACAACGTAAAGCAGAAATAATAAACGAAGAATTGTCCAGAACCATAATAAAGACTTACGAATATCATCATCGCTGAAAGGTTTACTATCGGCGATCTCATCGGGAGGCATGGTGAAGCCGGTGAAGGAAAAGGACAAGCCTAGGCTGGCACTGGAGGCTCGGCTCAAAGCCGCACCGCTGCTGACGTCATCCAAGTCGAATTTCATCTGAGCACTGCTCCATTTCCTAATGTGAGCATTCTTACCAGTGCTACTCCCGCTCCGCCCTGGCGACGGCATTGCCAGCCTTTTGCTGGACTTCCTCGAGAGGGTGCCCGTGCCAGTGCCACCGTTCTCCACTGCTGCTCCAGCAGCCGCCGTCTCGCTGGAGGAATGAGTTGGAGACTTCATTATAGTGGCCACGGTCTCTGCTAGTTGATCGGACCTTGTCCTTAGTAGACTTGTCGAGTTTGTTTTCTGATCGGCCATGATCTGTTGCATTATTAGCAAAGAGGTTTTTAACCAAATTAACTTTAATTAGTATATATATATATATATATATATATATATATGCATTCATGAAAACATAAAACTTACTAACGGGCGATAATTAAATACAGCCTAGTTAGGCCTTGCTACACCTAGAGGCTCGAATTTGGATTCTCCTTCCTACCTTCTTTCTCTAGTTAGTTGTTTCCCTCCTCTTTTTTTTTTTTAATGCAAAAATGAAAAAATAAGAAAATATTTTAATTAGACGGAATTTTGAGCCACAGGTTTTAGTCCCATCTGCTGCGCTCGATCTCTGGATCGAACATGTTAAAAAAGAAATTTAAAAAAGGGATGAGCAATTTACAATTTCCAAGAAAAGGGCAAAAATAATGTGCATTAGAATGCAAAGCGCCTAGGGAGCAGGCAAATATTAAACCTGATTAGAGGCTCGGACATGCTATGACAAGGGTTTTGTTCCCCAAACCCAACTTAAGATGGAGAAGAGAAAGAGATTATTACCAGCTGCTCTATTCATTTTCTTTCTTAAAAGAACCTTGAAATTGTTGGCAAAAAAAAAAAAAAAAAAGAAACTCTTGACCTCATAGGAGAGAGTTGGGAGAAGTGCACAAGGTTATCATCTGCCTACCAAAAGGAAAAACTCTGAAGGAAGTGCACAAATTTTTCCAAAAGGAGGAAGATAAAATTTCATGAAACTCTACTTATAAACATTCCCGCCGGGAAGGGGGGGGGGATTTGGGGGAACATGTAAAGTAAAGTTCGTTTTGGCAGAAAATGGATTTTTGAAGTAGACATACAATGCAAAATTGAGTTCGTAGGTGCATGCAGTGGTGATGAGAGGAGGATCTGAGAGAGGTAGAGATGCCCGTGGAGGAGCGAGTCTTGAAATGGAGTTGGATACAAAAATGATGATCTGAACGGAGAGGAGATGGAGTAGATTACCTTTAGACGAAGGTGTCAGGGCAGGAAGGTATGCAGTTGAATTAACTATACCTTGTCAGGCTGAAACAACCGTTAGCCAGGTGCGTGTGGAATGTTTTCCTATTGTATAGGAGGAGGAGTAAGGCCAATGGGCAGTATTTCACTGTTTCTCTCGCAGTCTCAAAGTCTTGGTCGGTAACAACATCTCTTGTGGTACAAGCAGCTGCGGCTGTTCTCCTTTTATATCGTGAGATTAAGAGAGTCAACCAATTTACACTTTTGCCCATACAGCTGTTAGTGACTAGCCTGCTAGTGTTTCAATCATTACTTTGCCAAAAGATCTAAGATTAATTTCTTTTTTGGACCCTTAACCAGTAGAGGTCTTCCAACTTTAGTTTTTAAATTTCAATTTTAGCTAATTTACATCCTCAGCTATAATATCCGTCCTATTTCACTCCTCTCATTGATCAAATCGATTAGAGATGTATATATGTGTGTGTGTGTGAGAGAGAGAGAGAGAGAGAAACTATTTTGATTAGAGTTGTTTTTCACTTCTACGTAGCATGTCTAATTGAAGAGGATTGATGGATTATAAGTCAATAGAATTTTACTCATATTGAATCCTATTTAGATTATATTATCTGCTTAAGAATATCTCTAATTTTTATAAAAACTTCAAAAAAAAACTAATTTTATGTTAATGACATCTGCTTTCCATCAATTATTACATAAAACTATAGTAAAAAAAATTTCAAATTGCAATTATTGAAATCTTATATATTTCATAAATTATTTCTTTTCACCACCATGTGGTTGATTAGTATTCAAATTGTTCATCATCTTTTCCCTTATTGTTAGTATCTTATATAATACAAAATTTAAAAATTCATCTCTATCAACTAAAATTTCTCATTTTTTCTTTTAATATATACTTAACAACCGTTTTTTTTTTTGGTTGAAATCCTATCTCAACGAGAAAATATTAACTTTCCTTCTTTGTGTTCGCTTGCTAAAATTTGTGCATGTTAATTCTAGAATTTGTACATGTATCTATTATTGGTGATTCAGTATTTTGTAATTTTTATAGTTTTGATTAAATAGCTATCATGGTTTACTTTAGCACTGATTTGACCAATTTATTTGTTATAATTCCATATATTCCGTGAAAATTTAAGATTGTTACATTGTCTCTACGCATCCAATTTTTTTCTTATTTGAGTATATATGTAGGGGAACATAAAGAAGGAAGTTTAAAAGAGGTCGAATCAGATCAAAGTTTTCTATGCATTTGATGACTTTGTTTGTTTTAACGTTTTGTAGTGTTATGCAGGAAAATTTTCATTTTGCCGAGTAGTTATCTACTCTATGTATCTTTTATAGTTTAAGTTAATGTTCGCGCGAGAAAACTAAAATTTGTATTCTTATAAATTTGTCTTTTTTCATATTAGTCTATGATGTAAAAAGTTAATCTTTGACTTTTCTCTTATGTTCCTCCAGATTGCAGGAGTAGGAGTGGCTTACAAGGGTCATTAATCACAGAGAACATAAAATTTCAAAATCATGGAAAGAAGTAGGGGTGTTTTATAAATTTTTCTCATATTATGCTATGATGTAAAAAGTTAATCTTTGAGTCTTCTCTTATGCTCATTCAAATTGCAAGAGTAGGAGTGGATTTTATAGGGATCATGAATCGCAGAGGACATAAAATTTCAAAATCATGGAGTGAAGTAAGGGTGGTTTTATTGGGATCGTGAATTGTAGAGGACATAAAATTCTAAAATCATGAAGTTCGTCTTGGCAAAGGACATACAATTTCCGAAATTCAAATACGTGACCTCGCTGTTTATCAAATCTTCAACTAATCAGAAAAGGATCTCATTAAATACCATCATTCAGGCTTTCATTTAGCATTTTTAAGATCACATGAACAATATTGTTTGTTCTTACACTTCCTTTCTATTCTACCAATATCAATTTTATCCATATGAATTAAATTAGTGTAAAAAAGAGAATTAATTGTCACACAGATAGAATTTTTTCATATTGTGTCTTCACAGATTCATATTCAGAACTCGTATAGCTTAATGTGAAACATTTTCAAAATTATTTGGATAATAGATTATTTGAGATAAATTTTTTTTTGCAAAAAAAAAAACTATAACACATTTTGGATGTAATCTACGTGGTGGTTAAAAAATACGCTGGCGATCTAAACAGATAATAATTTACGATCCAAACAAACCCAATTAATTTACTTAAGCGATATGATTAAATCTATTTTTAATTGGAGGCCGGTTCGCATAGCTCCACATTCGTACAATACAACACCATTGCATACTGAAAACTACTTGACATGTTAAGCAGATGTGATAATATTCAAGATGAACCAAGGCAAGCATCAATCATCATGCACGTCACATTCGCTGAAAGCCAATTAGTCATCAGCACGGTACACGTGTTCGGACGCATTTGCTGTTCCTTCTTTTTTTTTTGGTGTGGAAACTGTGCGAAGGACGCCCGCTCATGGACTCCAATCAACTTCGAGTTACTACGAGGCAAATTCGCGATGAATTCAGCTTTTAGCATTAATGGTCAGTTAACCTCATCCGGCTCAGCAATACCGCCTTCTTTATTAATTATCAAAATCGTGGACCGCGACCCATGACGGGAACCAGATTGCAAGAGAAAAATTAAGAGGAGGTCCTTTCTCCGCGGCTTCCTTTGCCCATTAAAGGTGAGGCCGTCGTTTGATCTCAGCCTCTCAGGTTACCTCTGCACTAGGGCACCCATCCATGTTTGGAGCTTTGCACTCTCACACGTACTTGTCCTTCCGTCCGGATTTCCACTGCGGTTTTTTTTTTTTTTTTTGGTTTGCAAGTATTCCATTCCGTAAGGCCGTAACGAGGTACTAGCTAGCTAGCTAGCCAGCAGCCATCATAATGCAGCAAAAACATAATCATTTCTTGTGAATATCTCTCTCTCCCTCCTTTTTCTTTTTTCTTTTTTTTTTTTTGGGGTTTCATCACAATTTCATCATGATTGTCGTCATCATAATTGCCACTCTGAAATTGTTATCACTATTTGGCTTAACAAGTACTACTTGATCTTTCTTTTTTTCTCAATGTCGTAAAAAATTTGCACCTGCTACTTTGAGAAAAAGGTTAATTTGCAGTCTCAGCCATCCTGTTTTTGACAGAACAAAGAAAAGAGAAATGTTTGTACAGCTTGCCAGCTAAACTTCCTAAAAACTCGGGGGTTACCATTTAAGCTCGTGGAGAGTAGTTGTTATATTCAAGTCTAAAGTGACGGGGGAATTTTCGTAATGAATCTTCTGTCTCACATTCTGTGTCACTCTCTGTCCCACTTTTTATTATATTGTTATTTCTCCTGCATAAACATCACGTTTTAGTTCTTTTTTGCTTCCTTAAAATTCAATAACTATTAATTAAATAAAAAATAAATACAGTAACTTCAAAAAAATAATATATAATAGAAAATTAAAAAATACAACAGAAAATTCGTAAAAAATCTCATTTTTTATGCATTTTGATTTTTTGAGTTTATTAAATTTTGTGTATTACTCGGTTAATAGTTATTGGATCTTAAGGAAATAAAAAAGAACTAAAACATGATATTTATAAAGGAAAAATAATAATATAATAAAAAAAGTGGGACAGAGAGTGACACAAGATATGGGACAGAAGATTCGTTGCGGGTTTTTTCTCTTGTTTTTCCTAAAAAACCGTGTTCAAACCTGCTGATTAGTCAAGCTTATTTTTTTGTCGTTAGTTAGTGTAGATTTATTGACTGAGACGATCTTTTCTATTTAAAAAAAAAAATCGGGCCGAAGTTTTGCAACGTAGGCACGTCCAAGTTCCAATTGACTACACTAAACTGGTCTTCGTTATAGCGAAAGAAGCGACTTCAATTCCTCAGCAGTCAGCATCTTGAAAACTTGGGCTACGAACGAACCGATATCGAGCCATGGAGCTCTAATGCGTACGCAACCATGCATGCATAAATGAATCCATGAATCATGATATGATCATTGCAGAGTTAAATTTCATACAGGTTAAAGAAAATTATAAGCAAGGACTTAACCCTTGACGGAGACTGGTCCTTATAAAATGGGTGGCTATTAGCTGTCTGGGAATCAAGATTAGAACCAGCACGGAGGGCCGGAGTGGCCCCAAAAGGACATTTTTGGTGGTTATGCGGATTGACAAAGCTTCCAGTTGCCATATTTGCCTGGTGGGCTGCCTGGCGACGCCAGATCCTCAAACGTTGACACCTGTCGTACCAAGTCATTTTTTTTTTCACAACCCCTGTAATTAATAATTTTTTCCTCGGCAAAAATTCCATAAAAAGCAAAAGAAATTCATTTTTTATTATTTTTGGGGAAAACAAATCCAAGTTTGTTACCCGTTTGCCAACATTGATCTGTTCTCAAGTTCTACTTTAAACCAATATTTTTAAACTCGGATCAGAGAGTGAACTGAAAAAATGTTCCGGTTTTTCTGCCAGAGTTACTCCAACCAGTGTATCATCAATTTTAGAGAGTTTCATATGAATCCAGAATAAAGGTATTCGGAGGATGTTTCTTTGTTTTGCTTTTCTTTTCACCTTCCCAGAAGGCGGCTTGACGAGTAAAGTGTGCTTGAAAGAATTAGTAACAAGAAAAAGAAAAAGAAAAATAGAGGCGGACGACAAAAATTCATTTGAATTGCTATTTTTAGAAATTTTTGTAAAAAAATACTGTAACAATTTGATATATGTGAAATAAAAAAGTAGAAATTTTTCTACAGAAAATCACGATCAAAACAAGGCAGTATTTCATTTTCTTTCATATATATATATATACACACACACACACACACACACACGCATACATACATATATTGACTTGGTGAAAAACTTTTTTTTCATTTTCTTTTTCTTTCTTTCCTTTTTCTTTTCTTCTTCTTCTTGTTCCCCCTCCCCCTTCCCCGTTACCTCCGCCACCCCCAGCAGCAACTCCACCAATGCCACCTCCCGACACCCCTCTCCTCCCTTTCCCTTTCTCCTCCCCTCTTCCCGTCGCCCCCCCTCTCCTCCCTTTCCCTTTCTCCTCCCCTGCCCCGCCACCCCCTCTGCCTCACCTTCCCCTCCCCCCTCCACCATCTCTGCCCCGCCACTCCTCGCCTCTCCTGTTCCCCTTCCTGCTTCTCACCATCTTTCTTTTCTTTCTTTTTTTTTTTTCACAGAGAGGTGGGGGAGGAAATGGGGGAGACGCACAGAGAAAAAAAAAGACAAGAGGGGAGGAAGAGGGGGAAAGGGAAAAAAAGGGAAAAAAAAAAAAGAAGACCGGCACCGGCATGGGCATCGGAAATCGGCGCCGGAGGTGGTGGTGGGGGAGGAAGAAAAAGAAAAGGGGAAGGGAATTTTTTTTTGTTGTGTTTTGGATATTTTAAGTGTATAGGTTAAAAACTTTGATAAGTTTTGGGAGTTCCTGTAGCACAAGTTATTAAAAAACTTGGTAAAAAACAGGCCTTCTAAACAGGCCCTAAATACTGCAATAGTTCGGTGTTGCAACTATAAGCACCCCTGCAAGAGTGACATTAAATTGAACTGTTCAAATTATTGGTTGAAGAACGAAAGAGAATGTCGGAAATTGTGACTCAGAACAAGGCTTTGTAGACTGCCTATCTAATGAACATCTATTGCTGCGTGATCCAACAACGTCTTTAAGTTTATGTGAGTATTAGTGAATCTCAAATAGTCCAAAAAAAAAAAAAAAAACAAGCCACAGCACGCATACTAGGTGACTAAATCGGTATTACTTCTCTCCTTTACATTCTTGGATAATAGCACCAGCATTATAGGCGTAGAACAAAAGAAAGCAAACACCTTTGTTCAACATGCACGGGTAGCTTATGCTGGTATGAAATAGTCTGAAATCTGCATCGGGCGAGAGTCAAAGGATATAGTATATGGGCAACCGATTCCACGTACCTTCACTGCCAACTTTTGGTTTTTATGCGAAAGGGATTATGCACGTACCATGCTGCATTGCCTGTTCTTGTTCAATTAATATGACAAATTATTTTGTACTACCGGATCAACACATCGATCATAACCACAATACTTTGTAGTCTGCGCGCATATGTATAATATGTCAGGTATTACAATATGGCACAAATATTTAATCCAACCCTCTCCTACGTGCTGGGACAGCGGCTAACTCAAAAATCCCACAAGCTAGAAAAAATGTAAGTGAATAAGTGCCTTCTCACATCGATCGTGAGTGGTGTGTGTGTACTATTTAAGGTTCTCAGTGTAACCTGAAAGTCAGCATGTATTTTGAATTGAGCTGTGGGTTTCCCTTAGGTAGTGTGTGTATTATTTATGATTGTTGATGAATAAGTGCCTTCACTTTTTTTTTTTTCTTTTTTTGGGCGTGGGGAATAATTTCAATGTGCAAGATAATGTTCCCTATTCGCATTGGCAATATTGGGTATGCAGTTCATGAAAATTCAGAAAACCAAATTTGGCATATGAATATCTGATGAAAAATATGGACCTGGATCCCACTAGGCGCTTGGGTCCGTCCAAGGCTTTAGTTTAATGCATGGAGCAAGACAAACATATATCTAGCTAGCTGCCACTCCCCCTTTCCGTGAAAAGTGATAGCGCAATTTACCTACTGACAGGCTGAGTCTAATGGGCGGTGCCGTCCGATGGACTGGTTGAGGCACGTGACAAGGACGGCACTGCACGGTGGCTAGTGGGTCTGCGGTGGTGGACGCACTTTGAAGAAAAAGCTGAATTTGGTATTGTTTTGTGCGGAGCGAGCGATTCGGGGCGAATTAGCTCTACAACCGGTGAGAGTAGAGGCCACGTGTAGAACATGACACTTTAGGTCTGCACCCTCCAGGACACAGCTCACATGACGACGACTATGCTTTTTCTGGGATAGACATCTGGAATCTGCATCAATTTCTCTCCTCCTGAAGCTTCCACGTCACTTACAAGATCACTTTGTCTCCTCCTGAAGCTTCCACGTCACTTAAAAGATCACGTATCTCTGATGAGGATTGGACTGTCGATCAACCTTTCTTTACAGTAGTTAGTGTGTCGATATGGATATACATATGTATTTTAGGGGACCCCCAATCAAGTGATGGAAAATGACACCGGTTGCGTCACAGATTTTTTACTTTAGTAAAATCTGTCAATTTGGTTAAGATTAGCCCAATCTATTGCTTTGGAATAGCTCAACAATATCAGCGCCCCTCAAATCAGGAAGATTCTAGACTCTATATTTTACAAGAAAAGAAAAAAAATACGGAGGATTTAAAAGTCGGATCAGAGATTTCTTGATTATTAATAATTCTATTGGTTAAGTTGATTTTTAAAATATTTGAGAAGTTACAATTTACTACCGAAAATGGTTATAATTAGTGGCTCGTTGAACCACGAAGAACTGCATTGCTCGTGTTCATCCATATTTTACTTTCAAAAAAATAACTACTATATCGAGGGAGAGTAGATCTCTCAATTAAAGCCACTTGCAAAATGCATCAACACCAATGGTATTGGTGGACCTTTTTATATATATATATATATATAAAAAAAAAAATCAATCGATTGCATTACTACTACTATATCGATCGATGTCAAGCAGACAAGACGATCCGCAAGATTTGCAACTCTCCGTGGGCCGGTCCCAATAGTTGTACCATGATGACATGCATCGTTAGGCCAATTACAAGTCCCGAACCGACAATAGATATTTGCATCCACCATTGTTAACTTAGGCACTTCATCCTGGAATTTTTGAAGATGAGAAGGAAGCAGCTATTTGAGTTGTCATGATGATGCAAACCATTAGAAAGCACGCACGCACACACACACACAACACACAGTGAAATGCACGGTGCGTCTGAAAAAGTTGTGACCTTGTGAAGCATATTATGTGGTCTGGTCTGTCACGGGATAAAGCAATCCAGGAAAAAAAAAAGGGGCTTGCTTTATCTAGCAATAGCTCATCCTCATCTTCTCCTGCCCCCGTCCGTCTCTTTCAGTCTCTGTTCTAACGGATATAACTCCATAACAGAATTGAGAAATGGTCCATGTAATGCAGGAAGAAAGTGAAATAAATAATTTTTGAGATTTCACACAATTTTACCTTGTACGTCTTCTTCAGAAAGGTATTGACAATGAAGGATGAAAAAAAAAAAGGTTTTGGAAATTGATGAGATGGGGGTGTTAGGTTAGGTGTCATGTGCAGCTGAAGTGGTATCATGTGATGGATGAAAAGGTGTGCTTTGTTCATATATAATTGCAGTGAGAAGAGGCCAAAAAGTACCCTATCCGTAACAAATATCTGCTCCTGCTCTCTGTGTCTGGAATTTAAACCGTAACAATACATCAATTCCGTCTCAGACTCACTCAGGGTAGATATTTGACACGCTACTGTTTCAGTCTTCCACGTGTCCCCGGGGGAGCCCCTCCACGTCCCCCCCCCACCCCCCAGAAAAAAGAAAAAAGAAAGTAAATGTTTACCATGTACTACTACTGTGCTTATCCTCTAGTAACTAGAATCATTTTCACATCAATTAATGAGGTTCAGCAGTCCGATAGTACCTTTCTTACGACCGAAATTGCGGTATGATATATGGTAGCAATTAAGAAGGAAAGGAAAAAGTTGTCTTTCTTTTTCTTGAGGATTATTGATTGATGGAGAAGGTCAACATGATAGAACTCATTATTAAGAAGAAAAAGGATCCAGTGTGATCTCTCACAATGAGTCAGTAGCATACATGTAATCTGCTGCTTTTTTTTTCTTTTTTTTTTTTGTACATATAAAAAACACCGCAAGTAAAAATTTTTTATAAAAAAAAAAAAAAAAACTGCCTGGAAAGCACCGGTCCGCACCAGACATGAGGAGGCTGTCAGGGACCTAGGCGAATTATACCGTTTCATTCACTGAAGTCTGCGTTTTAGGAATAAGTCGTTGGACCAAAACGGTGCCGTGGGACTAATGTTGTTAGTTAGTTATGTTTGCATTTCACGTGTATTGATTTTCTACTGATTAGGCCGGTTATAAATAGTAAGCTTGTAATAGAATCAAGCTTAAGAAAAGATATAACAAATTTGTTCTCTCCCCAGTTAACGTCTACTCTCTCTCCTCTTCCTCGCATTCTGTTTTTCCCAATTCTCCTCGCCCTCTCTAACCGACTCAGCAATTTTCCCCAATTTCTGACCTAGGACTCTGACATCTGGTATCAGAGCAGCCGATCCTTGGCTGCGAAGACACTGGAAATGGCGGAGAGTACCAGATTTCGTACATTGGAAGATCAGCTCAAGAAGCAGGAAGCTCGCCTGCAGGAGATGGTGGATTCGGTGGCCAGCGTACAAGCTGCGTGCCAACACCAGTTTCAGGAAGAATTAGAGCAGAGGAGTTCGCGGCTGGAAGCGCTCGTAGGAAGCTTGAATCAGAGGTTTGACTCCATTGAGCTGAAGTTCAACAGCCTACTGACCGCAATGTTGAAGGAGAAAGGATGCGCAGAGCTGGAAACGAGGAGTTCGGAGCTGCTATTACCAACTCCACCTCCGCACATGAAGCTGGGGAATCCGAATGGTGCTCAATTCGCACCACCAGAGAACCGAAGTAAGCAATTCACCCCTATTTTGCCAAGATTGGAAATGCCTATGTTTGCTGCTGGTAATCCTAGGGAATGGCTTAGGAAATGTCAGAAATATTTTACGAATTACCAGATTCCTGATAACCAAAAAGTAGAGATGGTAGAAATGTTCCTCGAGGGGAAGGCCGACAACTGGTTTCAAGGCGTGAAACTTGAAAGGCCTCAACTCTCCTGGGCAGAATTTAGCGATTTATTGTGTGAAAGATTTTCCGGTAAAGGCTCTCGAGATGTGATAGAAGAATTCAATAAACTTCAACAAAAGGGGGTGGTAGAGGAATATGAGGAGAAATTTGAGGAGCTTAAAACTCTCATGTTGCTTAGAAATCCGAAACTCGATGAGCTTTATTTTGTCTCCAGTTTTATCAGTGGGTTGAAGGAGGAAATTAGACCAATGGTGAAGATGTTTAAGCCACAAACACTGGCCAAGGCCTTCGAAGTAGCTGAATTACAAGAGTGTTCCTTAGAAGTGCAAGCAAAGCACTCGCGAAATGCTGGAAAAATGATGTTGGAATCCAGGTTTGGGCTGTCTAAGAATATATCTAGTGGACAGAGGTCTTCCAGCTCCTACCGTATTCCAGCCATTACTCCCAACAATAACAAGCAGGAAAACGTGGCTAGGGAGTTTAATAAGGTCTCGGCTGAGGACATCCAACATAGGCGCAAACACGGTCTATGCTATAGGTGTGGTGAAAAATTTGGCGCGGGGCACCGATGTAGGACAGGGAACTTGAATTGCTTGGATCTTGAGGAAGGGGAAGAAACAGATTTTGAAGACGCTGAAGTGGAACAAGAAGAAAACACTGGGAGAGTTGGTGAACTAGCAGAGGTTTCTCTAAATACTTTGAATGATGCCATGAGCAGGAAGTCTATAATACTGCGAGGTAACATGGGAGGACTACCAATAAAAATCCTGGTGGACACTGGGGCTTCGAACAGCTTCATTCATTTTGGACTTGCTAAAGCTTTGTATTTACCTCACTGCGAGGTGACTCCTTTCACAATCACGTTGGCAGATGGGACTGATATCACTAGTGGCGCAGTTTGTCCAGGAGTCCAGTGGTTGATACAGGACTATCAATTTCAATTTGACCTGAAGGTAATGGAATTAGGGACTTGGGACATTATCTTAGGGGTAGATTGGATGTACCAGTTCAGGCCTATTACGTTTGATTTCCACAGCCTCAGCATTTCCCTCAGTAGTAGTGGGAGTTTGTTACACTTACAGGGGCTTGTCAACCAGCCTGTGATGGAATTGGTAAGGGGCAAGGACCTCAGGACTTTTATAGAAGAAAAACGCAGGCATTGTGTAGCCTTACAAGCTGAATCACAGCAGCACCAGCAAGTAGATGTCCCTGAACAGGTAGAAGCGGTTCTGCGACAGTATTCACAAGTGTTCGCCATCCCGACAGGTCTACCACCGGAAAGAGAGTTGGATCACCAAATCAATCTCAAACCGGGAGCGGAACCCTTCAAACTTAAGCCTTATAGGTACCCTCATGCACACAAAACCGAAATAGAGAAGCAAGTGGCTGAAATGCTCTCTAGCGGTATCGTTACTTATAGCAGCAGTCCTTTTGCCTCTCCGGTGTTGCTGGTCAAGAAGAAAGACAACTCATGGAGGTTATGTGTGGATTATCGGAAGTTAAACGAGTTGACGGTTAAGGACCAATTTCCCATACCGAATATAGATGAACTCCTAAATGAATTGCATGGGACAAAGTATATGTCTAAGCTGGACCTGAGGGCTGGTTACCACCAACTCAGAGTTAAGGCAATGGACACGTACAAAACTGCCTTCCAGACGCATCATGGTCACTTCGAGTTTTTGGTCATGCCATTTGGTTTGACGAACGCTCCGGCTACCTTTCAAGCCTTGATGAACCGCATTTTTTAGCCTTACATGAGGAAATTTGTGTTAGTATTTTTTGACGATATCCTGGTATATAGCCCCACCCTCGAGTCGCATGTTCAGCATCTCCAAATCGTCCTTGGAGTCCTGGCTGACAACCAATTGTTCTGCAAACGATCTAAATGCTCCTTTGCCCAAACTTCAGTGGTGTATTTGGGACATGTGATATCTGGAAAAGGTGTAAGCATGGACAGCTCTAAGGTAGATTGCATACTTTCCTGGCCGGCACGACAATCTGTGAAAGAGTTGAGAGGATTTTTGGGATTAACCGGGTATTATAGAAGATTCATCAAGGGATATGGGGTTATCAGTAAACCGTTGACGCAGCTGTTAAAGAAGGACGGGTTTGTATGGAATTCTGAAGCTCAGATGGCTTTCCAAGACTTAAAGAAAGCCATGACGACGGCCCCAGTACTGAGCATGCCCGACTTTGAGATACATTTTGTTGTTGAAACGGATGCCTGCGGAGTGGGAATTGGGGATGTCCTGATGCAACAGGGGCATCCCATAGCATTCCTCAGCAAAGCTCTCGCAAATCAGAACTTGGGAATGTCGGTATACGAGAAGGAGCTCCTGGCGTTGGTGTTGGCTATCACCAAATGGAAACACTATTTGGTCGGCCATCGCTTCATCATTCGAACGGACCACCAGGCTCTCAAATACCTGCTGGAACAGCGACTTACACACCCGTTGCAACATAAATGGCTAATCAAGTTGTTAGGCTTGGACTACGAGATCCAATATAAGAAAGGCATTGACAACGGAGTGGCAGGCGCATTATCTAGACGACGAATGGTTGATCAGAGTGCCGCACCTTCAACCAAATATGGAACTTTGAATGCTATTTCTTCTGCTCAACCAGCATGGGTACAGGATCTGCTAGACAGCTACACAGGAGATGCTATAGCTCAAGAACTTATTCCACAACTGTTGCTAGATCCTTCCTCCAACTCGGACTACCAATTGGACAAGGGACTGTTGAAGTTCAAAGGTAAATTGTATGTGGGCACCTCATGTGAAATCAGAGACAACCTTATCAGGGCATTGCATGCATCTGCCGTTGGGGGACATTCCGGCCAGAGGGGCTGCCTGCAAAGGGTGTAAGCGCTGTTTTACTGGCCGGGCATTAAGAAAGACGTCATACAGTTTGTGAGATCATGTGATGTGTGCCAAAGGAGTAAGCACGAAAACGTCCCATATCCCGGCTTGCTCCAACCACTACCGGTTCCTCAGCAGGCGTGGTCCCAAATAACTATCGATTTCATCGAACAGTTACCCTTATCTCAGGGGTTTGATACGATATTCGTGGTAGTGGATCGTTTCACCAAGTTCAGCCATTTTATGCGCCTCTCTCACCCGTATTCAGCTCAACAAGTGGCCGCAGTGTTTCTTGATAATGTGTATAAACTCCATGGCTTACCAGAAGTTATCGTATCTGATCGAGACCGGGTGTTTCTTAGTGGATTTTGGCAGGAGCTGTTCAAGTTACTGGGGACCAGACTTCGATATAGTTCCTCCTATCACCCACAAATGGATGGGCAAAGCTAGCGAGTTAACCAATGCCTGGAAACATATCTCAGATGTATGTGTAGTGAGCACCCAACGCAGTGGAGTGTTTGGCTGTCAATGGCGGAGTTCTGGTACAACACAAACTTCCACACCAGTTTACAACTTTCCCCCTTCGAAGCACTATACGGGTACAAACCAGCTCACATTCCCTTGGGACCTTTCCACGATAGTGTGATTCCAGCTGCGGCGGACATGGTGCAAGAACGACTACAGATCACATCATTGATCAAGGAGAATTTGGCCAAAGCGCAGAATCGGATGAAACACTATGCGGACAAACATCGCTCCGAGAGGACTCTGCAAGTAGGAGAGTGGGTTTTCCTTAAATTGCAGCCGTATAGACAACAGACTATAGCAATCCGAAAGAACCTTAAGCTGTCCGCCAAGTACTTTGGACCTTTTCGCATCATTGAAAAGGTAAGAACCGTAGCTTATAAGTTACAATTGCCACCCGGAGCTAGAGTTCATCCGGTATTCCATGTTTCGCTGCTTAAAAGAAAGATTGGTGATGCTCAGTCAGCTGTACCTGTCTTACCCGAGCTTGATGCAACTGATCAGTGTTTGCTGCAGCCTGAGAAAGTGATGAAGCGTAGGGTAACCATGAGGGATTCTCAACCTGTAATACAATATTTGATCAAGTGGAACCATCTTCCGGACTCTGAGGCCTCCTGGGAAGATAAGAGCTTCATTGATAAAATATTTCCAGATTTCAAAGCTTGAGGACAAGCTTTCTTTATGAGGAAGGGATTGTCAGGGACCTAGGCGAATTATACCGTTTCATTCACTGAAGTCTGCGTTTTAGGAATAAGTCGTTGGGCCAAAACGGTGCCGTGGGACTAATGTTGTTAGTTAGTTATGTTTGTATTTCACGTGTATTGATTTTCTACTGATTAGGCCGGTTATAAATAGTAAGCTTGTAATAGAATCAAGCTTAAGAAAAGATATAACAAATTTGTTATCTCCCCAGTTAACGTCTACTCTCTCTCCTCTCTCTCGCATTCTGTTTTTCCCAATTCTCCTCTCCCTCTCTAACCGACTCAGCAATTTTCCCCAATTTCTGACCTAGGGCTCTGACAGAGGCATACCTGCCAGACGCCTGTAGTCGGTCCATCCAATGGCAATGGATGGTAAGGCGAGAGAAAGATGGATGGAGGAGACTCTCATGAATATATTCATATCTCATCTTTCTCAAACTCTCTCGTGTTATTGTTACGTTTACTACGTAGTCATTCATTCAGAATATTTAATGATGCGTGCCAATCTACAAGACTAGACCAACATAATGAAGTTGGACCTGAGACAACCAACATGATTGATTCTCTAACCATCATCATCAGCATGCTTGATGCTCCTCCTCCACGAGTTTGCACCCTCAATTAAACATACACACACACACACACAAAGCCCAAGCAGCAGAAGCATGACAAGATTACAAGCTGTTATATCTAGTGCACAATAACAACACAGGAACTAATTAAACAAGACTGGCTAGTGGCTACCGGCTACCGGCTACCGGCTACTGTCTACTGGCTACTGGCTAGGATATGATTATTTTCACACAAAAAAAAAAAAAAACTTTTACTCCTCACTCTCCAAAGCTCCACTAAACTTTACAAAACACAATGGAGTTAGATTTTTGTCTGTTCACGTGTACATGTGAACATGCTTGCTAGCACAGATAACACATACTTAACTATTGGAAGCGATGCATTTAAACTCCATGTACTACAATTTCTAAATGCACGTATTGCTTACACTTTTTCTTTTTTATGATCCTGCTCTTCCAAAACCGGTGTCTTGCATCATCGCCGCAAATTCATTGTAATCAATTCGCCCATCCTGGGAAGAAAAAAAGGATAAAAAAGCAACACAAAATATATAAGAAAATATCAACGGTGTAAAATTTGAAGAAACTATTGGATGCATGACACATAATCCGAATTTAACACGTGTCGTGCACAGTGTATATACTATCAGTCAGTCAGTGTGTATAAGATTTACTCATAAAACTTTCCTCAGTTCCAAAAGAATATCAGTTACTGTCTACGGCTAGTAACATATTCGATGATATGCATATGTCAACACACACACACACACATCACAGCATATAATCTGCCATTGGACGAGGATGCATGCCATACATTATCCTTATCAACTTCATGGATAATTTCGTCAAGGTGAACATCTCCCATTCCGAACTTCTCACAAGCCTGTTGGAGCTCATCTTTTGTAATGTACCCGCTTCCATCTTTGTCAAAATATGAAAATGCTGCGTACATGTGATCCTCCTTCTGGATCTTGTTCAGATGGAGCATTGCTGCTACGAATTCCCCATAATCTATGGTACCACTATTGTCAACATCTGCCTGCATGGTCCAAATAAACACTGCATTTTAGTAAAATCACGGAGACGACGTCGAGTGCCAGAAATGCTTGCTTGCTTGTTTATTGCTCTATACTAGAAGCTCAATAAGGATAGCCTTAAGTTAGTTGATTTGGAAAACAGCGAAGTTCAAAATGAAAAAAAGACACTAGAATACTACTATGTCAAAATTCTAAAAGAAGAAGAAAAAAAAAAAAAAAGCTTTTCAACTGCTTGTGCTTACAGCTTGCATCAGGGATATTATTTCTGAATCCCGAAGATTAGCCCCCACTCTTTCCAAACCATTCTTGAGTTCCTCCAATGTAATTTGTCCACTATTATCCACGTCTATCATTTTGAACATTTGTTTGAGCCCTGCAATTTCCTCTTCAGACAGACTTTCAGCAATGACCTGACAGACAAGATTTGTAAGCCAGAGCACCAAATTTTAGCATGATTGCTTCAAAGCATTGTGCATGTTTACCAAACTATTGGATCCTGGTTTTGATCAGTCGGAAATATTTGGAGTGATTGACCAAAACGCCATGCAAATAGTGAGTCATTACCAAGGAATAAAAGAGACAAGTTACTAAAAGATGTCCAGTGATCTCTATACTCTGTCCCACCGACTTAACTCTGTACTCCGAGCATCCGGTGGAAACAAGTCAATGCCAGCATAATTTTGCTGAGGTTCATAGTGTTCCTCAAACACCCATGTTTAAAAAGGATTAAAAGAAGAACTTACCCTAATAGCTATCTTCTTGAGTTTGTTCATTGCAGAAAATTGTTTCAGCCGACTTAGAACAGCAGAATCAAGAGGCTGATCGGGAGCTATGCCGCCAACTCGGACCCATGGGTGGCCTGCAAAAAGGAAATGCATTCTTTTCATGCAATGCAAAATCCGAGTTGAGTTAAATGGGCCAATATTTAGAGCCACTTTCTTTTTCTGAAATTCTTTATTCAGTTTCTAAATCGTAGTTGGATATCAAACACACTACTGGGCATTTTGAGTGCATGACAGTTTCTTCTTTTCTTTTAATTGTGGATCTTATTGAAATATGACGAAAGACGTTCGAATGGAAATGTCGAGTGAACGAGATATATAGTTGAGGTCTAGAGTTTAAAAAGATAGATCGAGCTCTTTAGCACCGGAGACTCACTTAGAACTTCATGTGCTTTAAGCCGCTTTTTTGGGTCTCTTACAAGCATTTTTCTCACAAGGTCCTTCGCACTTTCTGATATGGAAGGCCAAGGTTCTGAAGCAAAGTCAAGTTCGCCTTTTAAGACCTGCTCAAATATGCCTTGCTCCGTTTCTGATCCAACATATAAATTTCAGGATTAGAAAAAAAAAAAAAAAAAAAAACAAAGTGAAAAGTTTAAGAGAAGAAGTCAGGTAAACAATGGAGTGAATATGAGAACAGGTTCAGAAACGAAGTAGTCACCATCCCAGAAAGGCGGCACCCCACTTAGCAATATATAGATGATGACTCCAGCACTCCAGACATCACATTCTGGACCGTAATTCTTCCGCAATACTTCAGGAGCAACATAATAAGGGCTTCCAACCACATCATAAAATGTGTCACCTGCATAGATAAGACTTGGTGTTCTTCAACAAACCAGAAGCGGAAAAGTGGCCTAAAAATATGTGCGTTCAGGCAAGATTGGGCAATGTTAATGCAGCAATAAAATTGCTTAAATAACAACAAAGTGACACAAACGTAAATGAAGTAGACTGATTAAAATAACCACAAAGTTGAACTTTGGGCAAACTTTCATTAGTTTACAAGGGCACAAGGAAGACACGGATTGTTATTAATTTGAATCATCTTTAGTGGAGTAATTGAAAGGGGTTAAAAGATGATTTTGTATGACACCAGGACCATTCTTATTCCTGCTGCATTGCGATTGAGTAGAAAACAATACAAGTTCCACTTCATCTATTGAATTGATTGAGGTCCTGCTATTTATTTCTGTAGGTGGAATTGGAAAGGTTAAAAAGAAGAGGGTCGTCGTAGGCTATCTGGTTGTATTACGGTTCAAATAATTACCGTTCCTCACAAACTACACTTCATAGCCACCATGTAAATAAAAGGCCATCACCAGAAGTACCATTCGAGCATCTAATTCAAAGCACCCAGAGTATGTATACCTTTCAGCAAATGACACGGGAAGCAAAATTTTCTTTTCTTTCCTATTTGTTTAAGGACAGTAAAAAAAATTTTTTCCCCGAAAGTTTTCAAACTGGATGGGATCACACTAATGTGCTTTGCTAGTTCAGCAAAGTCAGATCAGCATCAGATAACATTCATATCTGATAACATCAGATAACTTTGTTGTCTAAGTGTTGGGCTTCCCATTGGGTATGCATCAGATAACACTTTAAGATGTAAGTAAATTATGTACAAGTTTTCCAAGAAAATTTAGAAAGCCGATGATGATTAGGCTTGACACTAATGGCCTAAAGTTCTATCCTACACACTTCTGGCCATGATAGTGTTGCAACTCTGGAAAGAAACAAGTTTTAGGAGCTTATGATCTACCTATGAGATGAACATGGAAGCAGCAATCCCCCAACAGGAAGGAATCAGAATCCAAGTATAATTAGCCAAAGAAGAATCTATTCTGACAGTCATTAAAACTTTCGTCTTAAAAGAAGTTCTGTAATGTAGTAAAACAACAGGTGGGGCAGAAAAAATAACACAGGAGTGATCTCCAAGGTAGCAGTTACAGAGATGTACAGATGAGGGAGGAAATCACTGTCAAGCTATTGCTTTGCCGGAGCCTTGGTAGTAACTAGCCCAGCACTCATAAAGTGGCTTGCTTAGGAGCAAGATCCAGGTTGAGGCCTTGGAAGCATTAGGTATGGTTTTTCTGACCATGTAAACAATTGGCATTGGGACTTCTTGTTTTTGCTAGTCTACAACACTAAATAGAAATTCCAATTGTAATAGTTGCAGAGCCTTGTCTTTGTATCATACCTAAGGTCAACTAAAGTAGTTCTAACTGAACCGGTAATTCTAATATAACCTTCTTCAAGGATGCTTGAGCCAGATTTTCAGCACATAATCCTTCAAAATTTCATTGTTAAGGTAATCAACTGTGAAATTGAAGAGGAAAATGCAAGCAGGAAATTACCTGGTTTGAAGAACATTGAGAGCCCAAAATCAATGGTCTTAAGTGGCGATTCCTCTTCCTCATTGACAAAAAGAAAATTTTCAGGCTTCAAGTCTCTATGCATAACACCTAAGGAGTGGCACGCTTCCACAACACCAACAATGATCCTTGCAAGCTCAGCAGCCTTCCTCTCTGTATAATGCCCCCTCTGTATTATTCTGTCAAAAAGCTCCCCACCTGAACAGAGCTCCATGATAACATGGACAGCAATGGCGTCCTCATAAGCTCCCACTATAGATATCACATTGGGGTGCCCCGCCAAATGGTGCATTATCTGAATTTCTCTCCTCACATCCTCCACATCCTCCTCCGTAGTCAGCTTCCTCTTAGCAATAGTTTTACAAGCGTATTCCTTTCCTGAGTCCTTCTCCACACATAAAAATGTGGTGCCAAACTGCCCTTGTCCTAATTTCCTCCCTAAACTATAAATCTCCTTCAAATTCCCTGTTTTTCGTCCTAGCACTGATTCAACTTGAAGCCCCACGCTAGAAACTCTCTTGAAATGAGCAGGCTTCTGTTTGGGAGCCTCAGCTGCAGGCTTGTTACTACTGGTATCAACATTATTAGTCTTCTTATTCAGGCCTTCCACGTCTGCTTCTGCCTGCTTCTGTGGCTCCTCGCTGTCTATCTTCACCGGTGCAGGCGGAACACTGCGGATATCAGATGCATTAGATTCAAACTCTGACTTTTTGGAAGTTGATCCCACTGAATTTTCATTTTCTTTGTTGCTTTTACCGGAATTCTTGCTACTTTTTTCTTGTTCTGGGGGTGGCAGAGTTCCCTGTTGCCGATTTTTCCAGACCGCGGCTGTAACAGATTGCAAGAAGCCATTGTTCCCCAAATTGGGTCCTACGCATGTATTCCCCATTAGATTTGTGCCCGTAAATTCTATCTCTCCTGAATCTCACTATGATATGAACATACCCTTCTTGATCCCATTAAAAGTTCTGTGGCTAAAATGGGGGGGAAAAAAAAAAGCTTTGCGGAAAGATCAATTCAATCTTCAAGAAAGCCTGAAAACACCCAAAATTCTGATCCTTCCTTAAAAGCAAGCAAGCTCAATATACTCCAAGATTTTGATGATTTGATGCCCTAATATCAACCAATCTGAGGGACAGAGAAACCCCTAAACACAGAATTGAAGCTGCCAAACAATGGTAAAGCTAGAACACAGTAATTTTTTCAAGGAAGATATATACAAACAACGTATCAAAACGGGCATGAAAGACGAAATGAAAAAGCTGTGGAGGCAAAACTCAAGAAACACGACGAATAAACAGAGTTAGTTGGCGAGTTGACTCGGAGGAGAAGATGTATGGATCGGTTGGTGTTGGAATCTAAAGTGCGTTTTGCAGACGAAAATGGAGGAGATCAAACATCATTTTCTAATTTAAGCCTCCCCTTTTTTGCACACTTTTTTTTTTTTTTCTCTCCACACTTTCTCACGCTCCATTTCCAAGTGGTGTGCTGGAAAAGAGGCAGAGAATTATGCTAAAATTCGCCATGTAACTCCGAATTCAACCTACTTTTGACAAATATACGCGGTAACCTTATGATCTAACTCATTGTGCTTGGGATTATCTGGTCTAGTACGATGATAAATCCTTCTGGGATTACAAGGGTAGGTTCATGGGTAGTATGTACTCATTAGTACTATTTTGCATGTGCGCATGTACATAGACTGCATGGCTCAGGGACGTGCATGCATGAATTTATTTATGGATTTATTAAAAGTTTTTTATGGATCTTGCAATCATATGCATTTATTAAAAGTTTTGAAATCAATAGAGGCTGACTACCCACTTCATCATAACTATATAATCTATTTATAACATCAAAAGTAGAAGTCATAATTAAGTACAAAAAGAATGGAATAAATTTAGCGCTCGCTCCAAATATTAGTTTTGGGTGGTGATAATATGCTAATACCACTACCAGTAGTGTTTTTTGTGGGGAAGGAAGGTAGAGTACCAAATAGTTGTGGCAGATATTAAGATAACCTCATGTATAAAGTTGAAACAAACCCCCAACTTACTCTCACTTAGCAATTAAAATCGGATATATATACGTAAAAACGCGAATGTGAATATCAGTGAGTCCGTTCGGCTTGGATAGGTGGTTATTTGAGGAAAAAAAAATCTAAAATAATATTATAGTTTTTTTTTTTTGATATGATACATGTGACATAAAAAAAAAAGAATAAAAATTGTATTTATGATGCAAACAGAACAAATTTTAGGCTTAGTTTGGGAGTTTACGAAGGAAGAGAAAAGAAAAGAAAAGAAAAGATAGCTTAGGAAAGAAAGGAAGAGAAGGGAAAAGATGCATATTCCGTTTGGGAGTTTGATGAAAGAAAATAAAAGAAATATCTTTCTCTTATTTGAGAGTTTGAGAGATATGGAAAGAAAGGATTTTACGAGAATACAACTTTACATATTTACCCTTTCAATTTGTAAATCAAAGTCCAAAAATTAGCTTTCTTGTTCCCATAAATAAAATATTTGAACAAGACAAATTTCTAAAACAATTGCATCTGTATTCCCACAAGGTGAATAATAAAACAAATTTCTTGCTGGACTTTGATTCTCTTGCATGCATGTAAATCGCCTCAAGTCCTTGCAGTATCTTTTAGGTATTCTCGACATATGATTTTTTATATTGGCTGGAAATGCCTAGTAGGTTATCTATTTAACATAAATTAAATATTTTTTAAAAAAGAAATATCCCATAAAGTTCTAGCTCTTTATGACTTTTCTCTATTACATGAGCCAAGTACCAGGTTTTTATGGATATTTTATTCTGAATCATTTAATTTATGTTAAATACATAAATATTTGCAAATAAAATTCAAAAGCCGTTACACAAATATCTTTATGAAAGGAAAACTAGCATGTTTTGTGTTTAATATAAATGAAGTATTTGAAAGTAAAAAAAATTTGTCCATAACATTCCAGTTCTTTACGAGTTTCTTTCATTATATGAATAAAATACTAGCTATTTATGAGCATTTTACTTTGAATCATTTAATTTATATTAAATACATAAATTTAATTAAGCCAAGTTCAAAAAGTGTTACACTAATATTATTACGAAATGAAAACTAGTAGGTTTTATATTTAACATAAATTAAATACGTGAAAGTAAAAAAATAAAAAGAAATTACCCATAACATATCAGCTCTTTATGGGTTTCTTCTATTACACGAAATACCTTTTGTTTGGTGAATTATGAGTGAAAAATGGAAGAAAGCCAAGTTTTCGCTGGAAGTATTGAAAGTACAGGACACATGACTGAGAAAGCTTTGCGGTGCTTTTATAGAAATCAATTTTAGGATATATTGGAAATAATAAATTTTTGTATCAGCTTTTAAAGGACAAACTTGATATTTTAAAAATGTCTTTTGGAGCCCAACAAATTTCCGTCCTTTTCTTCCCACTTTTGGGCGGAAACATTTTCAACAATTGGAGCGAGACTTTTATCCATTCATTTCACTTCTCTTCTGTCTTATTAAACTCCCAAATGAAAGAAATGACCGTTCTTTTTCTCTGAATATTTTCTTTTCTGTCCTTTTCTCCCTATTCAAATGAAGCCTTAGGGAGGAGAGAGTGCTACTGAGAAATTCCGAATTTAAACCCTCCCACTTATACCGGAAACTTTTTTTTTTTTGTCAGCAAGTGTGCCTAACCAAACAGACCAACATTCGTGAGATCATTTGAATTGTAACAACAACAAACCCCTTTGATTGACTGAATGAAGAAAAATACGAGAAGCATGAATATTATTTGGAGCGGCTCTGCGAAAGAAGCTAAACATTGGGCCGAAAGTTGTGGCTACGTGATTTTCATTCAGTTGGATATGCTTGGGCCTAATTGTAATTGGGTCTTCAGCTTGTAGCGACTTTGCCACTGCCTGATTAAATAGATATAAATCGACCCAATAATGTAAAAACAGAGAGAGAGGGGGGCGGGCCGGGCGGCAGGGGTTGGTGTGTGTGTGTGTTGTGGAAGGGGACAGATCGGTGGACGTCGTTGACTGAAAGACGTCATCTCGTAGGCCAGTGGGAGGGAAAATGGGAAATGAAATTGGTTCAAAGCAAAAGCAAAAGCAAGACTACAACCGCTCGGCCCCTGGTCTCGATAGTCATCGTTGTTCACTTTCCTCAGTCATCCCACCACTGCCTGCTCCCATTCTTCCTGATTTGCCCTAAATAACACAACACATTCCTTTCCGGGGCAAATCTTTCGATTTCAATGGCGATTAGGGCATTCTGACTTCTAGGTTATTATCCGATCCTACAGTTATAACCGAATCGAATCTCTTAATATTGATCTTACACTCGCCTGCATAAGCCTAACGTTTTCATCTACTTTCATTTTGTGCTTTATGAATTTTATTTTATTGACAGAAGGAGCAGCAAGAATTTGAAGTATTTGTTCCATTTTGAAGGACTATAAGTACTATAAGCAGAGGTATGGCTAAGGTTGCTGCAGCGGCTCAGACAAGTACTATTCCGTTTGGTGGCGGAGGAGGTTCTAAGGCCACTACCACGACTACTACTATGAAACGGAAAACTCCGTCTGAGTTGCGGGTAACCTCTGTTTCTTCTTTGGTTGCTTCCATATCGTAATGCGAAACCATGGTTTTCTATTTATTTATTGTTTGGCAATTTACTGCTTTTAAATGTGAACTTCTTCTCGTTCTTAATTCCGGGGGGGGGGGGGGTATGCTGGCTTTTTCATTCGATTGCTGAGGTGTGTTCTCCCGATAAATCGAGTTGAACAAAAATTCTACTATTTAATTTTACAGGTGATGGTTTTATATTAGTGGAATTCCTGTTGAAACTACTTATTCCTTGACTCCTTATGAAGTACTACTAAATTTTCCCTTCTGATAAAATGTACAATTATTTGCAATTATGTTTTGGGGATATTGCCTCCACTTAATTAGCATCATCTGTATGTCTGACTGTTAGTAGCTTCCTCTTTTAATTCTATTCTTCTTGTTGTTCAAAATTGTGTAACCCAAACTAATGCTACAAAACAACCGCATATCTCCTCCAAAACAGCATTTTGCACCAGAATCGAATTATAAAGTGAAAATCTTTTATGTATATATATTTTTTATGGATGAAGGGGGAGCTGCTGAAACGGAAGAATGTCATAGAGCTTGTAGATGAATCTCTCTTTCCTGCAACTGCTTCTACAAGGTAAGCTTTGTCTTGCTTTTTTCAGTTACCTTGTGAACTACAAACTGAAAAACTGTTTGCCACTTGTAGGGATGGCGAGGGAAATGTTCCTGTCCAAAAAAATGACTTACCCAAAAATCCGAAATATATTGATACTCGCATGGATGAATTATTTCCTGTCAGAAAAAATAGTATCAGACTTAGGTTGCTCTCAAAACAGGAACACTCCAAGGTTGTAACAGTATCTCGAGTGTTATTCATTTGACTTCCTTATACTGTAAATCATGTTAAATTCATTATTTGTATGATTCAACTTTCTGAAATAGACAGCAAATGCACTTATCCAAAGTTACTGTATACATATTTTAATCTGTATTTAGTCAATCACAGGATAATGCTCCTGTTGAAGTTAGTGGCAGATTGAAGGCTTCCTCTGCTCCCATGAATATTGCTGATGAGAGTCGAGCAAAAACATCATGGTAAGGTGTATGGAATATGACTTACAACGCTTTATGATAATGTTCAGATTTTGTACTTCAATTTACTGATTGTCTGTCTTCTGCCTTTGGAAGTAAGGAGGACTCTGTCACTTCAGTTACCTTCTGTGAAGATAGGGCCACCAAAACTTGTAACACAGCTGAAAAATGTGGTGAGAGTACCTTTCGTAATGTGGCCGAGCTATC